ATAAATGAACATAGTTCAAAATCTTGGCTATAGAAATCTACAAAAAATTACCTTAAAGCAAACATCATTGGCACAATAAGCATCACAAGAGTAACAGTCCTTGTAGACAGATTAAAGAATTTAGGTTCTGATAGAACACTATATGCCAGTGATGGTATTATACTAGAAGCCCCAGTACCCGCCGTCCAAGCAGATAGTGTTGATCTAAATTGACAATTTTTTTTCAATTCTAAAAATATGTATAACTTTGAATAATGTGAAGTAAGAGCAGGTAAACATATCTGACCAATTCCGAGAGAAATTGAGTCAAAAACAACACCTAAAAGGGACATTTGTATACTTGTTGAGAAGGCAACAAGTATATAGGATGTTGAATGAGTAAAGCAAACCAAAAAGATGCGAAATCTTAAAATATAGACTTATAGTTTATTAAAAATAAATTGAAAAATGTTTATTGTGAATATATAATTTGGGAAATAAATCGGTTATTTGAGGTAATCTAAGTGTCCCATCTATAGTAATTTTAAACCGATCCTTATTTGAAGCATCTCCCAAACCCGACCACCCCAACCACCATTCTTCACAATAATAGAAAATCGTCTAAAAGCCTATAATCTTTTTTGGAACCGTAAACATCAATCTTTTCGAGTAACTTTAGATGTTTTTTGTTGCTCAAGGATTTTTAAAAATACTTTAAAAAAATGAAATTTTATTTAAAAAATTTAACCCAAAAGGGATTCTATTCATAAAGAATGGAAATGCGTATTTAACTACAAAAGCAGGCAAAGCAGTAGCTAATAAAATCGTTCCAGTTGACATTAGTTTATCACAACGAGGTTTTCCCAATTCTTCCTTTAAATTTTAAAAAGGAAACTAAATAAATTTTATTTAAATTTAAATACAATGCAATATCTAGAAGTATTATTTAAATTTTTGTTTCCGCTCTCCCCGCTTTGCTCGTGTATAATATCCACAGCTGCAGTGAGTATTATATTATTTACATAATTACAAGCAAGGCCAAAAATCCTTTAAATGTATTATAAATAATATTCAAAGAGTAAGGAATATTTATGATTTAGTTTGAAATAAGGTCCTCCTCCCTTTTATAATTTTTATAACTTAAAATTCTCATTTTTATACATTTTCTAATTAACAATAAGCTAAAAAAATATTAATAAAATTTTAATTATAAAATTCAAAAAAAACTTAATAACTACTCTGGGTAATTATTGTTTCGACCTTCCGTAAAAGGGAGCAATTAGTCAAATAAGGGCAATTATATGAGGTTTGAAATTTTAACGTGTTAGGGCAATTAATAACGGCCAACTAAATATTTAAACCTATCGCTAGAGGGGTCAATTGATAAAACTGGGGTAACTATTTAAGAGAGGGCAATTAATACAGGTTATACGGTATGTGATGGTGCCCTTATTTCAAATTTATTTCTTTTAAAATTCAAAAAAAAATTTTTGTTAACCAAAAAGCAATAAGATCCCGGTAATTATTCTTGTTTCCACCATTTTTTGAGGACATAATTAAAAATTAAAATTGAAACAAATTATCAAACAAACTTTGAATAAAATTTTTATATAAAAATATTTCTTAATTAAGTTCTCATATTTTTCTTTAAAAACACAAATTAAAAAACAATTTATTATTTTAGAAAATAAGGAATTATTTTAAATAATTATTTAATTAAAATAAGAAGCTAGTTAGTCCATTAAAAATAGATAATAAAAATTCCTAAAAAAATTTTTTAGGAATTTATTTTATGAAAAAAATATTTATCAGTTAGTTTTGAATGAAAATATTTATTTCATTCATTCACTACTAGTTTTTTCCCACTAAATAATTGTTTAATTAATTATTTGTTTTATTACTATAATGATCAAGTATAAAGATTATCGAAAAAAAATTTTTATTTGTATAAATTTAAGGAATTTTGGAGTTTTTGTAGTCAATTATATACAATAAAGAATTAAAAAAAAGTTATCAGTTAATAATGAAAATTTTCTAATTATTAGATAATATTTTTTTATATTTTGCAATTAGTATAATTTAAAAAATTAGTATAAGATGGAGAGAATTTGCATTATAAAAAATCATTTAATTTGCAAAAAATGATTGAGACTATAACTTAGCAAAAGATTTTATAATCTATACCCTCAAATATCCCGGCTCTATCTTAGGACATGCGTCCCATGAACATTTATGCGTCCCATAAACAAAAAATTGGATTTTTCTTGGTGTTGCAAAGTTGAGGCATGGTTCCAAAGCATTTCTTCATGTTCGGGACCTACGCCCACTGGATCTGGGACCGTTCCTTACCCTATCTATCGAAATTTCTGAAAGTTAAAATCGTTTTTCTGAAATTTTTAAAAATGGCTATAACTTTCAGAAATTTCGAGAGATAGGGCAAGAAACGGTCCCAGACCCAGTGGGCGTAGGTCCCGAACATGAGTAAATGCTTTGGAACCATACCTTAACTTTGCAACACCAAGAAAAATCCAATTTTTTGTTTATGGGACGCATAAATGTTCATGGGACGCATGTCCTAAGATAGAGCCAATATCCCTTCTCCCAAAGGTGGGTATCCAAAAGAAGAATTGTCTTTTTGGCTATCTTAGCTTTTAATTGACCGCCTATGAACACATGCACAAAAATTTGTTTACGCAGAGGAAGAACTATAATTGATGAAGATCTTGAGAGTGTTGCGGATCGCTCCAAAGTGCATTTTCTTGCTCTAAGAGCAAGAAAAATAGTTTAGTTTAACAATTGGCTGGGAAACTTATTTTCTATTTTATCTTCTTCTTTTGGACGCGTCAACCACTCTTGTAGTGGAAGACTAGCATTAAATTGTCAACTAAGCTTACTTTTGATATGTCGAAACTCTTAGAGCTATCGACTCTCTACTTATTTTCTGACAATACTTTCTTCTGAAAGGCAAATGAATTACTCATCCATCCGCTCATGTCAATCATTCTTAAATGGCCTGTCTTCTCAAACACTATAGATTGTCCAACCGCCTATGTCGATCCCTCTCAGAGTGAACGACTCCTCAAATGGTAATGGCCTGCTCATCTATGTCGGGCACTCTTAGAGTGAACGACTCTGATCTCACACGTTAATTGCTTGCTCATCTCGCCATGTCGCTCATTTTCATAGTGGGCGACCTTTGCTTTGTCTCCGCACAATTACAACTTCCCGCCTATTTGTCCAATCTGGCTTTTCTTTATAAGAAAAAGAAATGGAGAGGAATTAGTTACATTGTTTCATTTTATATAATTTTAACCTTTCTTTCACTTTTCACAATTATTTTTCAATGTAAATAGAAACTTCCCTTTTATCCCTTTTTCCTTTATTTTCCTCATTAATGTAAATATTTATATTATTTCCTTTGACTTATTTACCTGTATTTATTAAATAAATTAAATTATTCGACTATTCTTATTTAAATAAATATTTATGAATTAACTTTATTATTAATAATTACTTAGTCATCATTGCTTAGTCAACTACTTCGTTGTACTCATTAAATGAGCTACAAATAATGGCTTATTTCTACTTATTCCTGGCCTGCACACGTCAAAATAGGGAGTTCCGGGATTCCTTCCGGGCTCAATGGCCACGGCAGACGCGATTTTGCGGGAAAACCTGTCTCTTACACCATTCCTTCCATCATGCGGCATCTTGCCAAAATCAGTCGGGGACCTATGGCTCCGCGACGGAACATGGTTCCCCGACAGAGAGCAAGATAATTATACATATACTCAATTCTTGTGTATTTTTGCACGTGTTTACCCCATTCTGTAAACCTGTGCTCGATTTATTGTTTTAAAATCGGCCAGTCTAGTCGAAAAGCATGATTAATAATCCTTATAAATCTTTTTAATTTCAAAAATTAATAAATAATTTAAGAAATTGCTTTGAAAAGGTGGGAAAGTCTAAGGCGATAAAATGAGAGACGATTTATGTATTTCTCAACAATTTATAACACATTGTAAAAGTCTAAATAAAAAGTAAATTAAAGAAGCATTCAAAATTTTAAAATTTAAATTCTAAAAACTTAATTAAAACACGTTAACAACAAAAAAATGTCAAAATTATTTTTCCCTCTTTTCTTTATTGTTGTTTCAATTTATTTTGTAAATACGTCCTCAAACTCTAAGTCAACAATCACTAGCCTTCACACAAAAAACAATTTTTCAAGAAACGGCAATAGTCGTAGCAACAGAACTGGAGTGAGCGGTGTTGTTCGACCTGATTCAGAACGTTCCGTAAATCAGCCAGGTAGGAGAGTGTTTATGTTTATTACATATTTGGGACGACAAAAAATCCTAAGATTTATTCTTGAGCTCAGAAAAATTCCTGTGTTTTATGGCTATTAATAAACGGATAAAAAACATATACGATTTAATTGTATAGATTTTTTAAATTTTTTCCTTATTTTAATAAAGTATACATAAAGTTATAATATTTAGATAACCACCATCAACCGCCTGTTGATAATCAACATTTAGATCATCTCTTGGGCCACGCTATAGGATATGATCCCCATTACAATAATTATAATGACTGAAATAGTTTCTGAAGAGAAAATGGTTAAGATTAAGTTTTCAAATATGATTTTACAAAATCTATTATTTCAATTTTTATCAATTTTAACTTTCTATTATTCTTTTAAAACTTCTCAGTTTCTAAAATTAATTCTTTTAATAAATTTTAAATAAATTTATTTAAATTTATTTAATTAGGAAATAGATTTGTAAAGGGAAGGGAAGTCTTAGACAAGAGGCAAATATTTTACAGCTTAAATTTTAAATAATCATTGATTGTTAATTTGCAAGGAATAATTTAAAAAAATTTTTTCTGCACTAAATCTCTTAAAAATCCTTTCCTTATGATTTCCGGTCCCCACGACAATGGGCATTCTCCATTCATATATCCAATTCAGTGATCAATGCTCTGTGAAAATTTTATACATAAAAGATGAAGCAAAATAGGGAAGGACTCATTCAAGAGTCTAAAATCGAGAAAAACTTTTAGATAAAATTTTAACAACCAAAAAATGTCAAAATTCTTTTTCCCTCTTATAATGTTTGTCTTTGTTTTCATTTATTTTGTAAATACCTCTTCCAACTCTCAATCAACAATTACTAGTCTTAATTCAAAAAACAATTCTTCAAGAAACGGCAATAGTCGTAGCAACAGAACTGGAGTGAGTGACGTTGTTCGACCTGATTCAACGCGTTCTGTGAATCAACCAGGTGAGAATTTTTAGGTGAGAATTTTTTTTGTAAAATCAGAGTGGGGATTTGTTTAGGTTAAGTGTGTGATCGGATTTTTAGTCTTAGAACAAATGTTATTTTTTTAGATTGTTTCCCCCTATATTTTACATTTAAAATATTTTTACTATTTTGTAATATTTTTCAACTTTTTTGGCATGTTAAATAAAGTGAAAAAAGAAAAGTTCTTAAAAAAAGAAACGAGAAACTAAGAGCCAAAGAATTAATTTATAATTTTAGGTAATCAACATCAACCTCCTGTAGATGATCAACATTTAAATCACCTTTTAGGCCACGCTTTAGGATATGATCGTTATTACAATAATTATTGAAATTGATTTTATTGAAGAAATGTTGAAGATTTTATTTTTGAAATCCGAGTAGTATTCTGTCAACTTTTCTATTAACTAATCTATTGTGTAGTATTTTACTTTTTTTTATACTTTTCTACAATTTTTTTCGGTCATGTTTTTAAAACTATTATTTTTGTCCGAAAAAGTTTTCTTTTTCATTATCGATAAAACAAAATTGAAAACCGTCTCTGGTAATTGTACGGATAACAGCATTTGTGTGTCATTAAGATTCCGTGAAAATAAATGGAAACAATAGAAAGTTGTTTTGTCATCTACATATAACACCTTAAATCCTATAATCTCCGATATCATACTTAACTCTTAATACCTCGATATCCCAGCTACCGACATCACTCTTGATTTGTGTAAGGCAAATGGATCTAGTAGGATATCAGTGGAGTTAAGGATAACTATGAATTTGGAAGGAAAGTTTATCTAGAGGTTACATACATACAAGGAAAAATAAAAATTATGTCGGCAGGGTGTGTAGTCCGACCTCTGAAACCGTCATATTTTTCAATTGTTTTATTTTGACATTATGCTACTTCTATTGTTTAATTAGAAATTATTTCTAAAATATAGCCATCTCACTTGTCCTCTTTTGATTGTGATTTTTCTAAAATTAAAAAAATAATAATTATTAAGGATGTATTAAAAATTAAATAGTCAATAACATAATAAATTTAATAATAATATTGCAACAATAATTAAATACCTATATTTATATCTCAATCTTTTTCTAAAAATTTTAGTTTTCCAAAATAATTTTCAAAGTTTTCTTAAACGATTTTTTGTAAATTAAATTCTTCTCCCAATAGGGATGAGAAAAAGGCAGTGTCAAAGCGGATATGGGGAAATCCTTGGATATTCTGATATGATTTCCGAACCGAAATTTTTTGGATATCCTGACTTTAATTCCAGATCCGAAAATTCTACTCACAATAATCTCATAAATCAAAAAATAAAATATCAAAAATGCAAATAGCTAATTATTTTTTAATCTTAGTTTTATTTTAAATTATAATTAAAAATAAATATAGTCAACTAATCATTTGATTTATCTCTTGTTTTAAAATTTAATTTAAAATAGTATACTTATTTTACTTTTATAATAATTCTTGTTACAAAACAAAAAAAAATTTTTAATAAATCAAAATAATTTTTCATTTATTTCTCTTTCACACTTTGTTTATTCAATATAATAATAGAGAATTCGGTAAATAAAAAATAAAAAACCATTCATTTTATCCAAAAATATTGATTTTATCCTTTTTAGGTTACTCATTTATAATTTTATTTTTAAAAATTAAAAAATATCTTTTATAAAGCTTTAAAAAGTTGAGTAATTTTATTCAAAATTTAAAAATAAAAAAAGTTAAATTTATAAAAATAAATTGTACTTCCCCAAAAATTCATAAAAAATCTATGATGTTCTAAATAAAAGTTTTATTTTCACTCTTTGTCTCAATTTTATTTTTTTGTGATTGTAAAGAAAAAATTTAACTAAAAAATCTCGTTTTAAATTATTGTTTAATGAAAACTTTTATTTCAAATTTTATTGAATTTTATAAATTTTCGGGGTTTTACTAGAAAACCCTTAAAATAAGATTGATTTTAATTAATATCTTTTCTTAATTTAAACTTTTTATTTCAAATTTGTAAATAAAATTACGTGGCTTTTTAAGTTTTTTTAAAAAAGGAAATTGATTTTAAAAATAACAATCGTGTTGGTATTTTCAAACAATTTTTATTTAATAATAAAAATTTTGTTTAACGTTTCTTTGTTAAGAATTTTTATTTGTTTGGTTATTTATTAATTTTATAAATTGAATTTAATAATTTTAATTTTATATTTCATCAAGAAAATTTTCTTTATCAAGGAAATTTTAAAATGAAAGAAATTGCTGAGAAAAACAAAATGGGTTAGTTTTGTGATTTTTAAAAAATAAAATATGACAACTTAAATTATTTCAAATCGGATATCCTGATCCGAAAAAAGGCCGGATATCCGAAGATTTTCATCTATCCGACTACCTTATTGCATATTGGCTGCGAGATTTTTGAGAGAATCTACGTTTGAAATAAAATATTTGTTAGAGATACATAAAAATTATCAAACCTCTTTTTGGTTTTAATCAACAATTAAATTTTAGAGACTTTTAAGTTACATACAAGAACTTTCGCGCAGCGCGCCAAACAAAAAATGCTGAGAAATCCAAAACACCTTTAAAATATCAAACAAACAGGCAATATCTTAAAAAATTAAACTAAAAATTAATTCATTTCTTTTCATTTAATTAATATTTTAAAGGCCGTTGGGGTGCTGTCTCTTACATTATCGGAGCAATTATAGGTTCTGGTATATTTATAACCCCAACAACAATTTTAAATAATGTTAATTCTGTTGGGGCTTCTCTCTTAATTTGGATATTGTCTGGAATTATAGCTACATTGGGTGCTTTTTGTTATGTTGAATTGGGGACGAGTATTAGAAAATCTGGTTCTGATTTTGCTTATTTGTGCCATGTTAGATGGTAAAGAATATTTTTATTAAATTTTTATACTGAAAAATACTCTAATTTAAACATAATTTTCTAAAATGATTTAAAAATATTCAAATATTTTTCCTAATGAACTTTTATGTATTTTTAATAAGTTTTTAACGATAAATTACTCAGGAACAAGATTGCATTTATTTTCATGAGTACTTCTTGTTTATTTATTAATCCATGTGGATTGGCTATACAAATAGAAACGTATGTCAAATTTATTATGGTCAAATAATGTACAATTAAATATTTCGCTGTATATTATCTAACTAAAAAATTTAAGAAAGTTCAAAATAATCGAGCTAATCTCGCTACTACTCCAAAGTGAGATTAATAACTCTTTAGCTTCTAGTATTTTCCGATTTACGAAGCCGAATTTAAGTTCCGAACCAAAGGTTCCTTGGTCGATTCGGTTCCAAATTTACGGGCCTATTTATAGTCTATCGAGTACTGGAAATAATCCCTGAGTTTTATATTTAATAATTTTTTTCCTTTTTCCCTCAGAATTTAGTTTTTCAGTCTACGCTATCCGATGCCTCAATGTAAATTTTTAAATATTTTTTATTTATAATTAGATTTTTTATCTGTTTTTCAGATTGAATTTTGTGATGAATTTACTCGTATTATTGCGCACAAGCTTATTTCCTTCAGTTTACTATGTTTGTCCTTAATTTTATTAAAAATTATTTTTTCGTGAATTTTATTAGACTTTATTCTTTGTAAATTTTTAAAATAAAAATAATTTCTAAAAAAATTTCTTTTTCCCTTTCAGTATTACTTTTCTTCATAAATTGTTTTTCTTTACGTCACGTAGTCTCTCGAGTTCAAATTATTTCAGTTATTGCCAAATTTGTGGCTAGTGGTATAATTATAATTTGTGGAATTTATTTTTTGTTATTTGGAAGAAGTAATTTGGGAGAATAATTTTAAAAATAATTTTCAATTTAAAGATGTTCAATTTAATAATTTCTATCATCCCTTTGAAAATACTAACTTACGTCCAGGCAATATAGCCCTTGCACTTTTTGGTGGATTATATAGTTATGATGGGTGGGATATTCTTAATTATGGAATTGAGGATGTTAAAAGCCCGAGACGGTTAAATAAAAATTAAATATTTTAAAATAATTTATCAGAACTATGCCTTTTTCCATTATTGTGAGTATGATAGTCTGCGCTTCAATTTATGTTTTAATGAATTTATCATTTTTTATGGTTCTGTCAGTGACAGAAATGCAATCTTCACATGCCGTTGCAATGGCATGATTTATAAATAAATTTATAATAATTTAAAACCTTTTCTTCATCTAAACCGATTTGTAAAAAGCGGCGAACGGAAACAGTAAAGACTGTAAATTTTTTAGACACAACATAAAGACTCCCCTATTGCCGGGATATTTTTAGAATAATAACGGCGCAAAGGTCGCTGTGTAAATTACTATACTCTTAAACACAGTTTTGATTTAAAAACTAACCAATTTATTTTATTAACGAGGATAAAAAACTAAATTTTGAAGGGAAAGTGGAAGAAACAATATTTTTTATCCTCATCTCAATTTAAAAAATTATTTCACTTACTAAAAAATTACTATTTTTATTTATTAAAGTTATTTGCTGAGAAAACAATGGGCCCTCATTTTAAATATTTAATTGCCTTACTTGTTTGCATCGTTTTAATTGGGTATTCTTTAATTTACATTTTTCTTAAAATTGTTCTTTCAAAAAAAATTTTTTTTAAATTATTAGTTCAGTAAATGCATCCCTCTTTGGAGGCAGTCGATTCCTTTGGGCATCAGCTAGAGAGAGGCATTTACCAGCCTTCTTTTCTGTTATAAATAGAGAACATGACAGCCCTAGAGCCGCTCTTTTTGTTCATGTTTGTTTGTTCGTTTGATTTTTGTAAATTAAAATTCAAAAAGGTTGTTCTGACAATGTTTCTCTCATTTCTTGGCAATTTAGAGGAAATGATTAGTTATGTTGCCTTTACAGTTTGGGTATTTTATTTTGTTTATTACCTACAAAATTAGATATCATAGAGAGTGTTTTTTTAAATCAAAGATTAAATTGAGACTTAAAAATAAAAGTTGTCATGAGATAATTGCATTGGAGTGTTGTAGGAGAATTGTGATGGAGATCTTGGAAAACTTCAGTCTCAATATCCGAGATTTTTGTTCGAGATCCATCTTGATCAGATCTCAGTTTAACTAGGGATTTTTAACGATTATCCCGAATAATACATTATTAATTTTTTAAATAATTTTTAATTAATATTAAAATTAAAATCTTCAAAAACCCCCAGATAATTCGTTCAATTACAATGCTCTGCCTTTTCAATATTCGTTTTAATATTTGTAAACGTCCAGTTCACGAAAAAGCAATTCGTGTTCCTTTAATTTTGCCAATAATATTTTTGATTGTTTGCCTTTCTTTGGTGTCTATAACAATTATACAAAGTTTTAAATCTTCGATTGTTGGACTTTTAATTTTGGCTATCGGATTGGCTATTTATATTTTATTTATTTGGGAAAAGGCTTTTCAAAGATTTGGAGTTTATAGACGTTTATCTAATTATATTAATCGTAAGAAAATTAACGAAAAATTATTAGAAATAAGCCCTTCACTTTAAAAAGATGCTCTAACACTTTTTTAACGTTTTTTGATCATAACTTGTTTTTACGGATAATCAAAATTTAATTTTAAATACTAAAAATAATTATTTAGATGTAACATGCACTTTGGCACAACTCATTTTTAATGGCAACATAGAATTGCTTATCACCCCTACCGTTAATTTTAATGATTCGTTAAGTGAAAAATTGATGTAAAAATAATTAAAAACAAAATTCTTTTTAATACTTTAATAAATGTTTTAAATTGTAAAGTAAATTAATTTTAAAATTGTTTCCTTTAATTTTAATAATTCAAAGAGAAATATATGTCGCAGTCCAATTTTATATCTTGTCCAAATTCAATTCGGCCGGCCAATTGGGGACTGAAACCCAAAAATTTGGATGTATCTTTGTGTTGCAAAGTTGATTTCCGAAAAAATGTTGATTTCCGATTTAAACTTTTGAGCCATTTCCGATTTCCGACAGTTCAGATTTCCGGCACCTTTATTATTTCCGACCCACCTCTGCTTACTATTAAAAATTTTTATTATTAAAATTTGAAGGATTCTCTTCATTATTTTTTATAAAAAAAAGCAACACGCATTGAATATATAAATCTTTTTATTCTTTTTTTCATTCTTTTTAAATTCTTTTTGTGACTTGTGGGAAGAGAATTGAATTACCTCCAAACAATTTTTTTATCTTCTTTTTTATTCACCTACTAACTTTGTCCGCGCTTTGTGACGTTTTTTTCTTTGTTTTTTTTCTTTGAATTAAATTTTAAAAATATTTTTTATAAAATTGCTTAGACGTTTTCTCGATTAATACCAATTTTAACCTATTCGCGGGATGAAGAATTACTAGAGGCAGAGGAATTATTAAATTAACCCATTCCTAAATTTAAAAATTGCATCAAGTTTTGGCAAACCTGATTTTATATTTCTGAAATATATGTAGTTTTTTAAAAAGTTTTTATTTCATGATTCTTTTTCAATAATTTTTTTCCTTTTCTTCTTTTTTAACTGCCATTTCCACTTGACCTGGCTCTTCGGTATTCTCATGCCATTAGGAAAAAGCTATTTGTATGTAAAGCCAAAAAAGAAGAAGAAGAAGATATATTCTTTCGTTCAAACTTTTTTATAAATTTATTTTTCTCTCTCAGGGGAATCTGGCACACAAACACACATTTTTTATTTAGTCTTTATCTATAAAAAATGTAGAAAAAAGAGAACAATGCGGATGTGACGGAAGTTAAAAGTGTCGTTTTTTTCAAGTTAACCGAAAAATTTAAGTAAAGAGAATAAATTTACTCTTTGATCTTTTAAAAGATTTACCTACTCATTTTACTTAATTTAAAAATAAATCTCTCTTATATCCTCTCAAGACCGAATTTAGTAGCTGACATTTGAAAGGAGTATGGTTTGACTGTATTTAATTTTCTTTTAGTTTTTTGAGGTTTTTAATTTTCAAGGATTTATCAGCTCAAAAAAAATTAAAAATTAATAGAACAAAAAATTTTTTAGCCAGATTAATTCTTGAATTTTTAAATTTGCCCATTCTTCTATAAAGTTTAAACTAGAGTAAGTCGAGTACCGAGTAATTGGGAAAAAACCGAGCTCGAGTAATCCGAGTTTGAAAAACCCGAGTTCGAGCTCGAGCTCAACTTTTTAGGCCGAGTTCGAGTTCGAGTAGTCGAGTAATCGAGTATTTTTTATAAAACAGTATTTTTAAATAATTTCAATAAAAACAATACTTTTACTAAAACCTATTCATCCTCAGTGCCGTGTTTTGAGCATTTGTTAGCAGTAATGCGTTAGATCTTCATCCAAATCCCAGTTATTTTCGTTAATCCGTCTATATCCTTCTTAATCCGCCGAAATTCCATGATATGCACACGATCCATGTTGACTACGGGCTCCGGGTTGAAAATCAATGGATAATATTATTTCGGGGATTCGTGTAGATTATGGGGATATCGAGTGATAAGTGGAATGAGATGGATATCAAGAGATTAAGCGGAATTTGGGCCGATTATAGTGAGATTTGGGTGTGTTAGGAGCAAAATCTTGGAAATTCGGGAGATTAATTGGGATATCATTGGATTAGATAGATTGTCGAAAGGTGATCATGAGATCCGTTGCTCTATCCCTCTCTTTTCGCGCCGTTGGCTTAAATTTTGAGAATTTCTGAAGGTCAAGTAGGAACACCAATTTTCAGAAAGTCAGATCCCTCGCTATTCTTTTAGATCCCTTGAAATATCCGGATATCACTAAAATCCACTTAGCTTGATTGAATCCTCCGATATACACAAATCTTCCTTTTTCAGCGCCGCAGCCAAAAATTTCGAGAATTTTGGAAGACCAGAGAGCAAAATTTCTTTTTTTAGCGCCGCAGGCGAAAATTTTGAAAAATTTGGAAGACCAACACACTAGATTTCTTCCTTTTTCAGCGCCTCAGGCGAAAATTTTGAGAATTTTGGAAGATCCTTAAGCTAAAAATATTCCTTTTTGCGCCGCAGATGGGGGCATAAAAATACTCGGTTTTAACCGAGTACGTCGAGTAGGAAGTTTCCGAGCTCGAGTAATCCGAGTATTATGATCCCGAGTTCCGAGTCGAGTAATTACGCAAAAAACCCGAGCGGTCGAGTCGAGTAACTCGAACTCGCTCGAGCTCGACTTACTCTAGTTTAAACATTAATTTTAGAAAATTTCTTATCCTTTATTTTTTTAATTTTCTTCTTTTTTGCTTTACTTTAGCAAACAAAACTTTATTTTCTTAACTAATGAATATTTTTATTCAAAAACAATTAAATAATTAATTGGTTTTGCATTTCTTCGATTTTTTGGAATTAAATTTTAAATGCAAATTAGTGCATCTTCTTATTTATTTAGAAATTTTAATCTAAATTTATTTCCTTCCTTTGTTTTAATTTGATAATAAAAATTAAATTAATTAGAATCATGCTAGAGCTTCGCTAATTAATTAAAAAAATTATCACACTCTTATTTTTATAATTATTTTAACTCCAGTGGAAGTGGAGTCACAATCAATTCATTACCAAGAGTTGTATTTTAGCTTGAGTTTTACTATTTTAATGCTTATTATCTGCATATTTACTTCCAAATAATTGTTAATTTGTTTTTCTATTATTAAATTAATAATAATTTTATAAATAATATCCATAAATAATTAAATTTCTAAAAAAACAATTCTAAATAAATTAAATAATTATTTTCTTGTGCAAAATTATACAAAAATAATAAATAAAATAAATTTTTTTGTTATATTTACATATGTATTAATGCTTTAAATAAGTCTTATTACTTGGAAAATAAAAATATATAAATTAGCTGATAGAGAGATAAGTTTAGATTAAATCTCGGCTCAATCCAAACGATTTCGGTTAAATTTACTTTGAAAAAACTTTTTGATTTTTTGATTATATTTAGTCTTTTATTTTTTTCTAGTAATAGATAATCTTTTCTTAGTCATTGAAATTAATGTCCCCAATGAAAGTTATAATTTTATTTTTATTTGGTTTTTAATGTTAATAATATACATATTAACTATAATTATGGTTATTTATTTTTGTTATTAATAACATTATTTAATTTAAAATAAGCAGAAATACAAATGCCAAAAATATTACAAATAGGGAAATAATTTATTTTGTTTTTAATTTTTATTTTATTAAACAGATGATTCTACATACATTAAACATCTAATTCTACACTTTACACCTGTTTTTCTTTAATTTTGTATTTATTTTTATTTGCCTTATTTACATATTATTAGTAGGGATCGGATTTATATTGAAATAAAATCGGAAAATATGGCCATAAAATATTGAAATAAAGTGGCAAAATATTGACAAAAAATGGAAAAAACTAGCTAAATATTGAAATAAATTATCGTTTATTCACTAGAAAACCTCCCAAAAAAGTTGAAATTTAACAAAAAAAAATAACCACGTTTTTAAAATCGACTTTATAGCTCGACAAATCGAGTATTTTTACTCTCTTGGACATTTTTTGATTGATAAAATGAGGATGGGACATTTTGTGGGTTTTCTCAATGTGCCATTTCGGATTTTGTCCTGTGGGACATTTTAAGTGCGAAGCATTTTGGAATGGGCCTTTATGGGGACCTTTGGTCATTTACACATTTTGACAGCACTGTAGGCCATAACATCCCCTTTTCAGCGCCGCAGGCGAAAATTTTGAGAATTTTGGTTGTCAAACGTCTAGATTTCTTCACTTTTTTCCTAAAATTTATGAAAAATCCCAAAATTTTGTAAAAATATGCAAAAATATTGAAATAATTTGAAAAAAGCGCGAAATATTGAAATAACGGGGAAATTGGCAAAATATTGAAATATATTGAAATGTAACTTTGTTCAAAATCATAATATCGAAAAACTAATGGCATATTTGGGCTTTTCTCGACATAATATATTCAGGAAAAAAAAATATATTTCAATACAAATCCGATCCCTAATTATTAGATGTTTTATGTTTTTAAATACAGTAAATGTTTTCTAGAAGCCATAGGCGTTTATTTTCAATGAATTTCACAGTCGGCCTCTAATAAGGCTTGGGCTTCTATTAGGGTATTTCCGGTATTTAAAAATTGTTAGAAAAATAACATCTTTCAAAAAGAGTTTCCCTGACATTTTTACACTACCTCACTTTCCCCTAATTTTTTAAATTTGTTTTAGTTATTTTATTCTGCCATCAATTAATTTTTTATTTTTCCAACTAAAAAGTTTACAGCAAAAAAGTACATTTATAATTTAATAATATTTGTTGCTTTAATTCTATTAGTTTGTTTTAAATAAGCTACCTATTAAAATTTAAAAAAAATTTGTAAACAAATTAGATAATTTAAATAAAATTTTAAGATACAGTGTGTCTTAACTTCCTTGTTTTAAATAAATTAGTTAATTTTTTTTAAGTCTGAAAAATTTTCCTTTTAAATTTTTCTTAAAAATTCCAATTTTTCATTAAGCAATTTCCTCATTAAGAATGCACTCTAGTAACGAGAAAAAGTGAAAGTTCACCTGCTTTATTTTAATTTAATTAAAGCAATTTATGGCAATTTAAATCCAAAATGTCTTATTATTTTTTATTAATAAATTTTTATTTATTTTCTGTTTATTATTAAATAATATTTTAAGGTAAATGACAGATGGAAAAAAAATAATTTTTAAGTGAATATTTAATTTGTTTTTACAATTTTTGTATTTATTTTTAGAAGTTATTTCTAATAAAATTTGTTTTTTCCTCATTTATTATTTAATCTCTCCAAAAGCTTTATTAAATTAAAAATAAATATTCCAATTTATTATTCTTTAAATAAATGTGTTGTAAATAAAAATTAATTTAATTATTTTTGGCTAGCTTTGCCTTTTTTTCTGTTTCACCTTTGACTTTGATTTACGTCAGATTTACCTCAGTTTTACTTTTTTCATAAAAATGAGACTGAACCCTGTTTCAATTCTTCTTTTTAAATACATAAAGTATTCTTAAATAATAATTAAAAAATTATTTTTTTAAATTAAAATATGAATTTTTTTATTCTTCTCACGTACTAAAATTTAATTTTCTTAAAATAATTTTTTATTTAATACAAATTTATTTTTATTTAGACTTTACGGAAATAAATTTTTTTAACAATAAAAATACAAAAAATTTTATAAGCTTAAACCAAAATTATTGTATTTTCTTTGTATCAAAATTTTTACGAATAATTCTTAAAAATTGTCCCAAAAAAGTAAAAATTAATTATTTATATTTAATTAATACACGCTAAATTAGAATAATATATTTTTCTTTTAAATTGTATTTAATTTTTATAAATTTCCTTTTTGAAATTAAAATTATTTAAAAATTAAATTTTGCCACATTCTTTCATCTGGACACATTATTTGTATTATAATTTAAAAGTTGGAGAAAAAAAGTCACGCGCGATATTTCTTCCCTTCTTTTGAATATTTTCTGTCGCAAGACGCAGAGCAACTTTTAGTTAATCGCGACATTACTAAGCGAGAGAGACTTATATTAATTTTTCTGCGAGAGTCCATTAATTAGAAAAATTCCTTAAGCAAGCTTTTTTACTTTTATTTTTATAAAAATAATTTTAATAAATTAAATTATACCCAATTATTTTTAAATTTCATTTAAACATTTGCATGGCAAAAAGGAACTATAAAATTATTAAATTAAATTAATTTTAATAAAAAAATTTCATTGCTTGTTTTTTACTTTAATAAAATTTACATTTCCCATTTAAGACATGTATGTATGTATGTATTGCAATAAAAATCATTAATTTGTAAGATACAGTAATTTTTTTCTCCGAATTATTTTATATTTTAATTTCTAAATTAATTTTTTTGACAAAATTTTATAATTATTTAAATTCTAAATGTTAATTTAGTTAAATTAAATTCTTTTCAGATATTAATTAATTAAAATAAAAAATTCTAAAAATGGTTTATTCAATTTTTCAAATGAATCCCCCAATCCCCATAAACGCAACAGGCATTGAACAATTAAAATTAAAATCCTTCGATTCGGCAAATCAAAAACAACAAATAACTGATGATATAATCGCTGGAGGGACTTTAATAATTATTTCTTTCTTAGGGATGGCTTTACATGCTGTTGAAATGCTTACAATGTTTAAAACATTAAAAAAAGTTATTGGATTTAGATTTTTTCTTGTTCTTTCTGTTTTTGATTTGTGCTTACTTTTAATTTTTGGAATATTTCCTGGTTGGATTATTTTAAGGTATAATTACAAATTATTCTACATAATAATGAGTAAAAATTTTCATGGGACAAGAAGTGTAGCCCCGCCCCTCTCTAATTTTCTCGAGCTTAGTCTTTTTTTCCACTTTTAATTGTTTTGAAATTTCGAATTTGCTTGTGGATATAGCTAATTTTTGGCATCATAGTCGTACATCGTAAACATCTTATTTTAATTAGCATAGGCGCCTAATCGTATTAAAAAAATTTTACTGAAGCTCTCGGAAACGAATTTTCGTTTTCCGACCAATTATTCCGACTCCAGGCTTAAGTGTTCCATTTTAATGTGGAAGAATCAAGCCGTTGGTAATAAATAAGCCATCTAGTAACGAGTAATATTCTTAAAAAATAAATTTTATAATTTTCAGTAAGCAACCAGGGTTTTTGACTGAATGGAGTCATTATCTTCATGCCTGGGCCGATGCCTGTTGGTTTAGTATGTGTTATATGAACGTTGTTATTGCAGTAACTCGTTTTGCATGTGTAGTCTTTCCTTTACATTTTCGACGATTAAGTCGTCAATCAACGTGTTGGTTAATTTGTGGGGGTGCTGTGGGAGTAGCAACCCTTCAAAGTTGGATAATGAATAGTGCACCTTGGTGATTTTAATATTCAATCTTTTTTTTAGAAATTTAATTTTTAAGGTTTGTTGTGCTTTGGTATCAAGCAGATGTTTATGGAATGACTTGTGATTGGGTTGCTTATGCAGAAAGTGGAACTCGAACAGTTTATTTAAGCATAAATTTGGGATTTGTAGCTGCTTATCTACTAATTTATATTTCAACTGCAGCTACTATCTTTTGCAAAAGAAATGTAAAAATTTAAAAACTAGGGAGAAATATAAAATTGCTAATTTTTATCAATTAATAAAATTATCCACTCCCTTAATCTCAACCCACTCAAATTAGAAACTGAAAAGCTGAATTTTTTCCTATATTTCGGCCCGGAACGGGAAAATTAGAAGAGGTTTTAGTTAACAAAAGCTCATATTTAACTTGAGAGATAATTTTGCGAAATAAAAACACCAAACAAAAAATATTTATATAAGGATTAATTCGATCTCAACAAAGAAATCATAACCTAATGTTGTCAGAACCTTTTTAATCATTTAAATTTTTAATAATTATTCCCCTTATAGCTTCGTTTCCAATTTATGGCAGCTGTTTTTGGTAAATCTTCAACTAGCGGGAATGAACGAATTAATATCAGTCAAAGGGTTAGAGAAGTAGTTATTGTTAATGGAATAGAACAAAAAGAAGAAGAACAATTAGAAAATTCATCACCTCAAAATTCCTCAAATTCCTCCCCAAAATTAAATAATAACAATAAAGGCCCAATCCCTATCGAAAAAACAACAACAATATTTCGAACAATAAGTATTGTTAGGAAAAATAATAATGATGGGGTCGCTATATCTACAACAAAAAGTTTTGGAAAAATAAATTTTAGCAGTCAATCGTTGGAAATAAAGTTGGTACTCCCTTGCTGTATTAATTCTTTGATTTTTGTTGTTGGTAAGTGATTTTTTTGAGAGTAAAATGAAGGAGTTGCATAATTAGTGGATCAAAGATAATGCTGGCGCTAAGTACCCTGAATTTAGTACCGGAAATCTATAGTGACCGTATACACGTGCAATACCAGATCATAGGTTCTAACACGTAGAACCGGGTACCTATTAACGTAGATTGAATGCATAAAACTTTCAGTTGATGAGTAAACATTCAAAAGAAAAAGACATTAATCCCGGATTTAAGAATTTACTGTCCTTAACTGAAATTTTAATCCTTTATACCAAATAATAAATATATTATTCAGCACAATTAATTGTAATACGTGGTGGAATTGGCTCCGATAAATGGGCTGGATTTTCTGTTATGTTAATGTAATTATTTTTTTTGCTCAAAATAATTTTTCTTTTGTTTTTAGTTTTTGTATCCAGTCAATTGCCCCTCCAATACTTCGATTTGCTTTTAGTAAACTTTTACGAGAACAAGCTTTATTAGCCCTCGGATTGAAATCATTTTTGTTAAAAAGAGGACGTTTTAGGTTGTGGACAGTTGTAGCTTCATTTGTTAGTAAAGGAGGTGTGGGTGGTGCTGGACAATTGGCAGCACAAAATGCTGCATCGAAGAGAAATAATTTACATTAAATAATAAAAATATAAAAATTATTATTGTAAAATAAATTTTTGTAGAAGTATTATACAGGGTGACATAAAAGAAACTGCACACCTTATTTTTGGCATAACTTTATTCAAATGAAAAATATTTGGATCAGATAAAGCCAGGGCTTCGATTTCTGCGGATTTTTACTCATTTTGTGGTTTTTTGATAGGGCGATGAGGATTATTTTTTAAAATGCGGATTTGAGGATTTTTGTGGCCTTTTGAAGATTATGAGGATTTTTTATATTTTCTTGTAGTTTTTAGGATAAAATGTCATTTTTTTCTCTTAAGGCCTTCAAAAATCCTCAAAATTTTCGACTGCGGCGCTAAAAATGAAAGAAATATGACGTCTTGGCCTTCAAAATCCTCAAACTTTTCGCCTGCGGCGCAAAAAAAGACGATTTTTAGCTTAAGGATATCCAAAATTCAAAAAATTTTCGCTTGCGGCGCTGAAAAAGGACTATTTTGGCTACTTGGCCTTCATAAATCCGCAAAATTTTTGCCTGCGGCGCAAAAAAGATTTTTTCAGTAAACAATTCACTACAACAAGGGACGGTGAAAGCATTGGCTCAAGTCAACTGTAATTTCTCATTTAATTGTCCGAATTTTAATAAGATAGTCATTAGTAGTGAAAAAACTGCTCAATTCAATTGTTAGAGTCGAAAAATATAACGCATAAAGTGATTTTAATTCAATTTTTGTGTTTGATAATTTTTTGCGGATTTTTCATATAAAATGCGGATTTTTTCGATTGAAATTGCGGATTTTTAAAAATTCGAGATCGAAGCCCTGGATAAAGCTTAAAAGATAGAGAATTAAATAAGGAACAAAAATTGCAAAGAATTTTTGAAGTACCTCACCCTTATTTTGATAAAGAGTAAAAGGCGCGAAGAAAAATATTAAGGAAAAGTTCGCAAGTCGAAAAATTTTTTTTCAGATAATAAATTTTTTGTGAACTGATCATGTCAAAATTACGAAAATGGCATATTTTGGCGGAAAAAGTCTCCTCTTTCTAATCCACTTGTTAATTATTCCCAAACCATTTTTTCTTTAATGATATATGTAGTTCGTTATAGAGTTGATCAAGACGAGACCGATACCGAGACCGATACCGAGATTCTCGGCTTTTTTCCAATATCGGTCTCGGTTTTTTCATTCTCGGTCTCGAAACCGATACCGATATTCTCGGTCCATTTCTCGGCGAGAAACGATACTGACTCAAAGAAACAAAATTCTCAATTTTGTCCAAGTTTTCGGCCAAAATTTTTTTCGGATATCCGTCCATAACAGAGAAAGTGTTTTTTTCGAATAAGGTCTTCTAAAATTCAAAAATTTTCGCCTGCGGCGCTGAAAAAAGAAGAATTTGGTGACTTGGCCTTCCAAAATTTAATAAATTTTCGTCTGAGGCGCTGAAATGCTGAATTATCCGAGCCCTCGGCCGTTAGATTTTCAAGATTTTGATTACAGAGCCTTCCGATTTTCGGCAACTGTTGTTCCCACTAGTGGATTAAGGTGATTTAAAATGATCGGAAGCAGGGATGAGCGCATTGTGTTTGCGTAACTGAGGGCAAAAATGGGAAGAAATCTGGCTTCATGGCCTTCCAAAATTCTCAAATTTTTGTCTGCAGCGCTGAAAAAAGGAAAAATTCTGGCTTCTTGGCCTTCCAAAACTACAAATTTTCGCCTGCGGCGCTGAAGAAGCTAAGAAATCTGTTGACTTGCACTTCTAAAATTCTAAAAAATTTTGCATGCGGCGCTGAAATAATAGTTTGGTTAACCGAAATTTTCGCTTCGGCCACCCGCGGATACCCGATGATGTATATGTCTCAAAAGTTGTAAGGATATAATCGGATACGGATGTCGACCTCACGGATATACCTATTCGGATACGGAACAAAAATTAGCATCCATTGCCAAGCCAGATCGGATCCAGATGATGAAGAGTATTTATCTGATGATTTGGATGATGAAAATAATGAATAAATTATTTTTACACGTATTTTTTTACATAAAATAAAAATTTCTGTTAGTCTCGGTCAGTATCGTTTCTCGGTATCGGTCTCGGCTCAAAATGATGGTATCGGTCTCGGTATCGGGTTCTTGAGTATCGGTCAATCTCGGTCTCGGGTTGGCCGATACCAGTATCGTTTTGATCAACTCTAGTTCGTTATTTGCAAAAGGGTCAAAATCCCCTGATTTTCGTGAATACTTAGGGTTTTCGTGGATTTACCGGAAATCCTTCAAGATGTTTTCAGCCTTGGATCCGAAGCCACTTTTGGCGTAGAGAAGGGATCCTTCATCAAAATTCTTCTTCTTTTAATAAGACCTTAAAAGTGCAGGGTTGGTGTGGAGCCAATTTACCTGGTTTTAACACATCTCAAATAAAGCCACCGTACTCATCGGTTTTAAATCCGAGGATTTATCTTTTTGGCTTGTTTTAGAGGTAATTGTAATTGTAATTGTCTGCGCTAAATAACCTTAGAGTTTGGAGTCGCTTCGGCCATCACTCGTTTGGAAATGAGGGAAAATACCGCCCACGGAGGTGCGAACTTTTCCTTAATATTTTTCTTCGCGCCTTTTACTCTTTATCAAAATAAGGGTGAGGTACTTCAAAAATAAACTGAAAATATTTTTAGTTTTATTTTATATTGCAGAAAAAAGGGATTTATTTAAGCTAGTGAAAATTCTCTACAAGTTCTGACTTAAATATAGTCAAATTATATTTATCTCCAATAGGGTTGCCGATTTCGGTTCGAGCAGACGTTCGGTGCATATTTTATGAGCTTGGTTTTTTTTTGATTCGGTTCGTTGTCGAGTTTTTCGAGCTGAAAAATCTCGGCTCGCTCGATTTTTCGAGTTTCGGGTCGAACGAGCTGTCAACCCTAATCTCCGAGTATATTTTGTAAACTAAAGAAAGAAACTACAATAAATTAAAATAAATTCATAAGAGAAAACTTTCAAATTAAAGTTTAAAGATGTCTCGTGCTAATTATTATAAACAAAAAAATTTTTTTGTAAATAAAAAAAAACAATAAAAAATAAGAATCACGAGAACACACCGTAAAATAAATTTAATAAAATTTTGGGGAATTCCATATGAAATTTAAATTACAAAAAAATCATGAGTTCTGGTCATTTTAAATTAAAAGATAAAAAAAAGAATTTCTTTTCTAAAAATTTTGAAAAGTTTCAAAATATTCTTATAAATAAATATTTTTAAGATTTTAATTAAATTAGTGTTTGTTTCTGTTTAAAATTGTCAAAAATAATTTATCAGAAATTCTTATATTTTTTGTTTAATTTTAAAATTAAAAATATTTGCTGAGCAAAAGATTTTTTAAATAATTTTTTTGATAATTTTATAAGTACATATTTACTTAAAAACGCTTTTAAATTAAAAAATAATAATTTTATTAAAAAATTTGAACAATTCAAAGGTAATTCTGAATTGTTAGGATAAAAGAGGATTTATATAAATTTATGATGGTAATGCTCATGAATGAGTGGCTAAATTTTTTTTAAACTGACGAAAGTCCAAATGATGTTAATACTATATATAGCAAAAGGAAATGTTAGGGTGATCACAAATTTGTGCGTATTTACATCTTAGATATAGTGGAATTGAACTGGAATTGAACTCTTAGGAGAAAAATAGAGTAAATGTATGTAAATATAATGGTTTTCAGTTTGAGGAAATGGGTGGTTAAATTTTTTGCATAAAAACGGACAAACTATGGACCATCCTAGTATTACTGATGTAATAGGAGGATGCTTTTCACAAAAAAAAATAAATAGAAATATTTATAGTAATTTAAAAATTAATTAATTAAAGTTCATTATTTAACACGTAATGGGATCATTGGTCAGCGCGGTCAATTTGAATGGAAATAAAAAATGATAAAGGAAAGAAAGATTCTTGATTAATAACATGACGTGAAAATAATTGAAAAGAAAAGAAAAAGAAAAAAATGAGTGGAACGTTTATTAACGAAAATAGGGGGTAAAATTTAAAAAAAAACTCGTAAAACTCCTTTCATTAATTTATATTTTAAATTCATTAATTTATATTTTAATATAAACAAACCTTAAAAAGACTATAAAAATAACTGAAAAGAAGTGGAAATATTTAAAAGGGAATACCTTTTATGATAATAAAATTTTTAGTTTGGGGAATACCATTTTGTTAAATTTTGGGTTCCATTTTATGTTTTTTATTAATGTTCAAAATCATAAATTTATTTTAAAACACTCAAGTTATAATCTCTCACAACGGAAAATAGTTTTCTTTAATATGTAAATGATTAAAAAGGTAATATTAAAAAGCTAAGACAAAAATTTTTAAGAGATTAGAGATCGTTTTCCTTGAAAATCAGAATCTTATTTTATCCTATTTATATGCTAGATTATCTAAACCTGAATTTTTTGCCATTTATAGTTTCGATTCTATCACACTTTAATATCGTTTTTGAAAGCCACCTCGTTATTTTAGGATTAATTTGTAAACTTTTTAGAACCCTTTTAAATTAGAATATTTTTGAATTTATTAACTTATAAATAGATATTAGGACCAAAAAATTACAAATATTTTTTCAAAAGGAACTCTTGGTCTTAAGTCACTCGTTTCTTGAAACCTAAATAGTTCTAAATAAGAGGTATCCTTATATTCTCTGTTTTCTAAATTTCTTTTATTTTAATTATTTATTTTATTTATTAAACTTTAAAATCTTAACAATAATTAAAACAAAAAAAAATTTTTTATTACCTTTTTTATTTAAGGTAATAAACTTGAGATCAAACCAAGGTTTTAAGTTAAATAAGAAAATTAAAAGTTTTTTTTATTTGAATTGATAAAAAATTTATTGCAAAAAATTAAAAAGAAAATTTTATTTTTTAATTAAAAATTAAATAAAAATTTGTTTTTATTTAATTTAAAATAATTATTTAAAAAATTAAAAATAAATTTTAAATGATTAATTAACTCTAATTTATTTTAATGATTAATTTTAAGAAGACTTTGAACTTTTAAATTAATTAAATTTTTTATTATGTAAATAGATTTAAAAAATAATTCCAAATAAAATGAATTCCTCATTTGAATTTAATTCATGTCGCTGCCCTAGTCGTTGCAGTATAAGCGGAAGTAATTCTTCAATTTCTACAGTGTCCCAACAAATTAATGGAAATAGAAGCTTTCCAAGGCGAATTTCTTTTCATACCTGTAAGTTGATAAAAATTATCGCAAGTAAGTGAAGATCCATTTAAGCCCCAACTCACGCCATTAATGGAAATAGAAGCTTTCCAAGACGAATTTCTTTTCATACCTGTATGTTTATAAAAAATTATCCGAAGGAAGTGACGATCCATTTAAGCCCAAACATACGCCGGGGCTCAAATCTTTAAGAAAGAAAGCAGTTATCGCCCCAAGTCACCGCCCCAACATACATAAAATCAATTTTTATCATTGTGGTTACACTCGATCATTTTATCTCATTTCAGTAGAACAATATTCACCTCTAACTGAACACCACCGCAAGTTATCGTTCACAACTGCTCTGCAAAAAACTAAGCAAGGCTTGGGGAATTTATTTGCAGATGATGAACAATCACCTGAAGACCTTATTCATAATTTATTTAGAGTTCCAAATAAATCAGATGCTTATATTGGGAAATTAATAATTGTTTGGAATTTAAAAATATTTTTTGAAATTATTTTAAAGGTGTTGAAAAATCATGGACTTCAAAAGAACGATCCAAGATTTGCTCCAATGATGAGAAAAATAAGTGAAATTGAGAATGAAAAAGAAGAAAAAAGTAATGAAGCAAGAGACCCTAAACATTGGAAACTTAGCAAAAATGATTTTAAACGAGTGATTAGCGAATCGAGTAAATTATATATATCGTAAATATTCTAATGAAGCTCATCCTTAATAGAAGACATTCCCTATTAGAATCAAACCTATCGAGAGATTTAACCAAGGCTTCTATTAGGATATTTACGGCTGTATTTTTATATGTTAATAAGGAGTAAGGGGAGACAAAATCTTGGGCACTTGCATTTGAGATAATGACCTAGACACTCAAATAAGACTAAGAAAGACAGAAGATAATCAGAAGAATTCAAGTTCTTGATTTTAAGTTCCTTATATCATCTCACCCTACAATAAATTTCAATATGATAAAAAATTTCCACTTATTTTAGTGTCTTTAATTGTGCAAACTATTCAAGGAGATTTGATTGTCCCTGCTTGGGCACATTTTACAAAAATTATAAAAGAAATCTATGAAGAGGTACTACATATTTTCAAATATTTTTTAATTTAAATATAATAATTTAAGTGTAAGCCAATAACTGAAGGTAAAGTAGCTAATTATATTCCTCAACTTGCTCGAGTCTCGCCTGACAATTGGGGTGTTGCTATATGTACTGTTGATGGTCAAAGGCATTCTTTTGGAAATAGCAACATTCCTTTCTGTGTTCAAAGTGTGTCAAAAGCATTTAATTATGGAATTGGTAGAAATTAAAAATTTTAACAATAATAATTAAAAAATACTATCTATCAGCGGCATCAGAAATGGGTGCTGAATATGTACATAAATATGTTGGACAAGAGCCTTCGGGACGTTTATTTAATGAAATTTGTCTTGACTCGAATAGTAAATTGGAGAATTAATTTTCCTAATTTTTTAAAATTATCTAAGATAAACCACACAATCCAATGGTAAATAGTGGTGCTATAATTGTGACTAGTCTGATTCAAAACAAGCTAGATATGGCCGACCGTTTTGAACATGTGGGTTTTAAAAAGAATTGTAAAGTTTCCGAACAATTTTTCTCTATTGATGAGGTGTTGTTGTAAAATATTTTTTACGATGCCAAAAATCACAAAAACATTTAAAATTCGGTACCAGGCATTCAAGTCTCGAACTTTCAGTTTCCAGCCTAGTAATAAATTCCAAAACAAATATTATTATAAAAATATTTTCAAGATATTTTTACAGATGATAAACGAGTATAGAAAAATTTCTGGAGGAGAATATGTTGGTTTCAATAATGCAGTATTCCTCTCAGAAACGAATACCGCTGATAGGAATTATGCTCTTGCTTATTTTATGAAGGAAAATGGATGTTTTCCACCAGGAACTGGAAATCTTAAAGAAGCTTTAGACTTTTATTTCCAACTCTGCTCTTTGGAAGTTACATGTGAGGGAATGGCTGTGAGAAATTTAAAAATGGAATTAAAAATTAAAAGGATTTTATAGGTTATGGCCTCAACATTGGCAAATGGAGGTATTAGCTTGGATAAATTTTATTATTATTGTTTAAGGAAAATCTGGGTCATTTCCCAAATGATAGAATAAAATTCAAAATAATAATTTTAAAATTAAAGTTTCCGTTTCAGGTGTTTGTCCTCTCACAGGAGAACGTTGTATTGGTTCTCGACCATGCCGCGATGTTCTTTCTTTGATGAACTCGTGCGGGTTAATGATTAATTTCCTTTTAAATTCAAAATAGAAATTAAATTAAATATTAGAATGTATGATTATTCTGGCCAATTTGCTTTCCACGTAGGATTGCCTGCTAAATCCGGTGTTTCTGGCGTCATGATAGTAGTTGTTCCAAATATAATGGGAATTGCTTTGTGGTCACCAGCTTTGGATAAAATGGGGAATTCAGTAAGAGGAGTAGAATTCTGCAAACGTCTTATACAACGTATGAAACGATTTAACTGGAAAAACGTTGAAAACAAATTAATTTTAATAAGGAAAAATATGATTTTTCGCTAAATATTGAAAAATCAAGCTGACTTCTAATTTTAATAATAAAGTTATAATTATATTAAATTAAAATAATTATTTAAATATTTTTTTTTAATTTTATCCTAATTCAAGGATTTAATTTCCACAACTATGATTCTCTAGTTCATAGCGAATCTCCAAAGTTTGATCCACGTGCGCGAGTTGGTGAACGTGAAAAGGCTGCAGTAGTTTCTCTTTTATTTGCTGCAAAGGCTGCTGATTTAAACACAATCCGTCGGTAACTAATAAATAAATGTTTATGTGATTTTCTCAATCTTTTCAAGTATGTATATGCAGAAAGTTGATTTGGAAATGGCTGATTATGATAAGAGAACAGCACTTCATTTAGCTGCTTCTGAGGGTCACTTTGATGTTGCTCTTTTTCTCTTAGAAATTGGGAAGGTTAAACCGGATCCGAAGGACCGGTCTAAAATTTTCTCATTAAAATATGTGAAGTATTTAACAATTGTAGGTGGAATAGAACACCATTAGACGATGCTCGCTCAGCTAAGCACACTTCTGTAGCTCTTCTATTAGAACGCCGTATGTGTGAATTACAACAATGCCAACCTCCAACTAGAAACAATCAACAACCTTTAGAAGCGTTACAACAAACCCAGCCTCCAAAAGTTGTTCGAAAATCAAGTTCGATGCAAGCTTTGACCAATAATATATCAAATAAAGAACAAATATCAACTGTCGCCTCCTCAATTCAACAAAAATCTTATAACCAAAATAGCCCTAATGAAGGTGTAATTTTGGGACAAAGAGAACAATTAGTAAAAAATAATAAGAAATATTTACTAAAATAATTATTCTAAGCTTTCCCAAAGAAAAACTTCCGACATTCATTACAACAATCATGAAGACTTACAAATATATGGAGAAGGTTCTTGTTCTTCTGCAACCTCAAACACTGCTATTACTTCAGAGGAGATTAAATCAAATAATTTTAATAATTCGAATGAGCAATGTTGCAGGAAGGAATCGAGAAAAAATTCTGTAATTTCGAGGGGATTTGATTCAATAAATGATGTGATTTATGGACCTATTACTAGAAGTAAGTATATTGACGGTTAAAGAAAAGATTAATTTTGGTAAATGACTTTGTTTAGCCCTTGCCAAAATACTGACTTCCTAAATTTGACTAAATATATTTAGATAATTATTTTCTGGAAGACTCCTCAGCAGATGAAAATAATTTTATATCTTCTAATCCTCAACCAGAAAATGGGCAAAATAATGATGAAATTTTGCATCAGACATTATCAAATAGATTTCAATTAAATGGAGTTGAAGGTGTTCAACTTGTGGATGAAAGAATCACACAAAGTGAGGTTACAAAACAAAGACAGACGAGGGATGAAGATGATGGGGAGGAGGAAAGTTCTAATTCAGAGGAGGAAGAGGTAATTGGATAATGACTCACCCATGTCATTTCAACGGAGGTTGAATGCGGGATAGGATGAATAGAGGATAAATTAATATTAAATTAAACTTTTAATTTTCTTAGGACATACTTTCGAAACACGATGATGATAGCAGTACAAATAATAGCCCTTTACTAAATCGACGCCGTTCTGTCATGCAATGGCCTGTCCCACCTCCTCAACCTGCAGCTGTAGCAGCAACTACTCGTTTTTGCCAAAACAAGCGATGGATGATGGGGCGCCAATTAAGTGGAAATTTTTGAGGAATTTTTAAGGAAAATTTTTTTTATTTAATTTAAATGTTAATTATAATAACTGATTTAAATAGACATTGAAATAATACTAATTTAAAATTTTCATGTTAAAAGAAAATTTTTATTGCTGTCAAGTCCTTTATTATTTAAAAAATTATTGTAAAACAATAGAGGTTTTATCATTTAAATAGCTTACTAAAAGTTTAGCCACCGGGCTAAACTTTTACATACTACTTTTATATTATTCCCTCTGTTTATTACCACAACAATAAGACAATCATCGTCGAATACTCGATTAGTTTATTATTATAAACTTCTAATTATACATACAGTGTGCCAAGAAACTTTAAGTTAGTCTAGTGTTCTGTTATTCAGTCGTTAGTCATTTCTAGTCAGTCAGTCAGTCATTTACACTGCTTAAGGATTTAGCTTCGAGAATGGTTAAAGACATAGTGTAATCTATTTTTCTCCTCCTTTTCCTGTATATTCTTTAACAAAGAGATAAAGCCTGCTTTGCCTAGCCAATCAAGCCTGCTTTGCTTAATCAAAATATTTATTCAAATTTATCAGAACAACTGTTTTGATTTACCAGAATTAGTTCTGATTTTATCAAAATTTTAATTAATTAAATAAAATTTTAATTATTTTTGGAATGTTTAAATATAATTCTAATTTAAAAATAAATTTATTTAAATCTCTCTTGCATATGTAGATATAATTAATACACTAAACTTCATTTTAAACTTAATACTTTCATTAATATCCAACAGAAACAATTCCATTCGTCTTTGTTTTAGTTAATGTAGATTGAGGTTGAATAGATTTTATAGTATTTTTATTTGATAAAATAAAAACTTTTGAATTTTTATTTGAACTTGAAGGATTAATAAGCCAACTAAATTCATCTTTAAAAGCTAAACGATGTTCAGTACTTTAATATTTTAATTTATTTAATTTTTAAATTAATTAATTAAAATTTTACCTAACAGCAAAAATAGTAGGTACTTCAATTGATGAACTTAATGAAGCAACAACATTAATTAAACATTTAATAATTTGTGATTGAGTATTTGTAAAATTTGAATAAATTAAATTTAAAATATTAAAAGCAGATAATGAAAACATATATCCACCAATTTGTATTCCCATAATTATAGCTAATGATTTATAAATTGATTTACGAATTGAACACACTAAATTAATTAATTATTAAATTAGGTCTTTGCTTAATATCTCATTAATAAATTAATTTTTTTTTAAATTTTTTGGTACAATTCAATATAGATTTAAAAAAGCTTTAAGAAAAATTAAAATCAGAATTTTTGATTGTTTTAAAAAAACGTTATTATTAAAAATATGGAAGCAAAGGCTCTATACAGAGGTAAGTTGCTTCTAAAATTAATAACTCAAAAATTAATTTGTCTTGCTATAATGAGTTTCATACCATTTGATAGAGGATTAAATTTTTTATAAAATAGTTAAAAACCATAAATTTCTATTTGGCAGGAAAAAAGTTATATTCAAAAACTGCTTTGTCTCAGCTATGGAATAAATTAAATAAACATTCTAAACTTGCTCTATTTTTGCTTTATAACTTTTAAAAAATTGAACAACTTAGAATGAGCTTAATACCTTTCGATATATTTATTCCCATCCCTTCATCTATTTAGAAATTAACAAAATTTACTTTTTCCAGTCTTCTGATCATAAATTAATTTAAAAAACATTAATACATAGCATGCCAATGTGAGCAAATTAAATACAAGTTGTGCACCTACAATTAAACTACGACCATCAACACCCATTAAATCCTGAGAAAAACATTGAACTTGACTTAAATTAAATTTTTTAAATTAATTTTAAAAATAAAATCATACAGAAAAGGATCTTGTATAAGTGATCTAATAACATAAGCAACAAATACTAGTGGATATATTAATGAAATTAAATATAATTTTTTAACATAATTCTTTACACTCTTCATTGAATACCTTAAAAATTTAATTTTTAAAATTAATTTTTAATAAAAACCGAACCAAATAGGAAAAAATATTCCAAGCATTCTATCAATTCCAATAATAAACATTAATGTAAAAACATTTAAACCTCCACCAATAGGGATTAATTGAACAAAAGCACAAACAATGCGAGGTATAGTTCCAGGTCCAGGCAAAATAAATACAAAAAAGGGTAATAAAATTTGAATTTTTGAGAGTAAAGAAACAAATCCATAAAGTCCAATTAATAATTGACATGGTGAATGTAAACGTCTTTATTTTAAAAATTAATTTTTAAAAAATATTTAAAATTATAAAGGCGACTTTGCCTAACTTAGAAAGGCATAACTAATGATTGAATAAACTGATTTAACTATTTTTAGTCTTATTTGATAGATAATTAAATTAGCTACAAAATATCACAAAACCATGATATATTGTAGCAGGAAAAAATATTTAAAATTTTTAAAATATTAAAAACTTTTGTCGGTCTATTAACAGAATTTTATTTAATATTACTAAATAATATTTTTTCAATAATTCTGACTTGAATAAATATATAATATTTTTATTTACTTTTGTCTGATAGTAGTAATTATAAGCAACGTGAATAAAACTGTTCCGATTTGATCAACACAAAAAAATCAAAGAATATTGCACTTTATTTTAAAAACTAATTAATTAGCTACAAAACTTAAGGAAATAATTTTTAAGAAATACAAATATTTAAATTGTCTTCTTTATATTCATTCATTTAAAAAATTTTAATTTAAATTATATAAATAAAATGAAATATTTTAAAGTTTAATAGTCTATTAAAAAATTTGATAATTTTTAAATAAATTTTTTGCAATTATTTTTGCTTAGTTAACATGATTAAAGCATTAAACTTTAAAATAATGATAAAATATTTTTAAAAATCCTCATTATATTTTAATCTTTAAATTTTAATCTTTAATTTAATTTATGCTTGAATGGGTACATACTATTATTAATCTCAGACAATTTTTAAATTTTTTAATAATTTTTTAGAATTTTAATTCTGCAAAAAGAAATAGGTAATTAGTTGTTTTTTGGGTCCTTTTGGTTTTTTGCTTTTTTGGGTCCCTTCGGGACCCGAGGTCCTTTTGGGTCCAAGAAAAGCCCCAAAATAGGACAAAAAACCCCAAAAAAGTAGAAAAAGGAAATAAGAATTTGAAACATATTCGTTTTTCACAAAAAATTACCCAAATAAATTTTATTTCCTTAATTTCTTGTGCATATGTTTACGGACAAATGAAATAAAACTACCGTATATGCTCGAATAATTACCCTGGGTAATTATTGTTTCAACTTCTCGCTAGACGGGGTAATTATTTGAGAGGGGGTAATTATTTGAGCTTTTTTTAAACAGGCTAATTATAACTATTTTTAGGAGGGGTAATTATTTTTTCAACCTCTCGCTACATGGGGTAATTAATTGAGAGGGGGCAATTATTTGAGAGAGGGTAATTATTCGAGCATTTACGGTAAATAATTTCATAATAGTTTGCCAAAAAATAAAATTATCGCTACTCTGTGGACATTTTCATTGATATTGAGTAGAAAATAAAAAGAACAGAGTCGGTACCTTCTTTTTTCATTGAGATCTCAAATCTCGAAAATCAACGGGAAATTGGGGTACAGTACTTCAAAAAATATTTTAACCCCCTAAAGCTTAAATCAAAAATTTTCTTTTGGCGTATCTGAAAGCACATAAAATTTGCTACAAAATAGTCCAAGTCATTATTTTTCTAATAAAAGCTCAAGGAACTGAGGGTAGGGCAATCTTTTATGTCATTATTTTTGGAGTATTTTAGGTGATTTCTGACCATTTTTGGTGTACGGAATTTTGGTCACCGGAATTCTGGTCACCACGCTTTTTCGGAACTTTGGTCACCAATTTTTTTGGAATTTTGGTCACCAGCGGAATTTTGGTCACCAAGTCAAAAAACGGAATATTGGACACTGAAATTTTGGTCACCAAGAGGAATTTTGGTCACCAAACGGAAAAAAAGAATCTTATCTGAAACTGGTATCAAAGTGATAAAAAATGATTTTTCATCCCCCAGTTGATCAATTTCAATGTTTATCACTTTGCTGGCTGATCACTCGCCCGTTGATCACTCTCGATCACTCTACCGGATGATTAATTAACTGGCAGAGTGATCAACATAGAAATTGATCAACTGTGAGTTGAAAAACAATATTTTTATCACTTTGATATCAGTTTTAGATAAGATTCTTTTTTTCCGTTTGGTGACCAAAATTCCTCTTGGTGACCAAAATTTCAGTGTCCAATATTCCGTTTTTTGACTTGGTGACCAAAATTCCGCTGGTGACCAAAATTCCAAAAAAATTGGTGACCAAAGTTCCGAAAAGCGTGGTGACCAGAATTCCGGTGACCAAAATTCCGGCACCCCCATTTTTATGTGAAAGTCGATGTGCGTCAAACAACTATTTTTTAAAATGAATGATACCAGGAATATTTTGTAGCAAATTTCAAATGCTACAAAATCTTCAGATGAGCCAAAAGACAAATTTTTATAAAAGCTCTTGGGCGTTAAAATATTTTTTGAGGTACTGTACCTCCATTTCCTGTTGATTTTTGAGACTCTAGATCTCGATGAAGAAAGTAGGTACAGACTTGTTCTTTTTGCTTTTCTACTTAGTGTCTATGGAAATGTTCACAAAAATTGTTATAGAATTTTTGCACCAACTAGAGTAGGAAAATCCAAAGTTATTTAATTTATCCGTAAAAGATAAAATAAAACAAAAAAGATAAAATAAAATATTCTTCTATTTCTTGTCCCACAAATCCGAGTTAAACCCTTCCATTGTATTATTCTGATTAATTCCAAAACAATTCTTCGATTCTTCTCCATGAAAAAATTTTAGTGATTCTAAATGTGAATTATCAACTGCTTTAGTTATCTTCACCCTCATTTCCATATAATCCAAATACAATTCTCCAATAGTTTTATTATTAAATGTTAAATTGTTAATATTCTTCTCTTGATATTTCAATTGAAATAATTTTCGAACTTCAGGGAATTTTTTATCGATAAATTTTATTGTAGCTGGCACATCCTCTTTTCGATAAAATATTTGTGTAAACATAAAGATAGGTAAAACTCTTTGTATATTTTGAAAATAAATTAATCCTCCAAAAGTATCATTTCTGTTTTCATCTTCAAATTCTTCATTCCCTTTATAATTTATTTTTTGTGTTTTCAAATGAAATCCTTTACGTAACTCGTTTAACCCAATCTCTTTTATGGTGCCGTCAACACGAAAAGGGAACAATATTGAAGAAAGAATGAAAGAAGATTTATTTTTAAACAACTCTTTATATTCTTCTTTCAAAACACAGCGACTTGTGTAATTTTTGATAAAAGTTGTTGATAAGTCTCATTATAATTTAATAATGATAAAACTTCAGTTGTCTGAAAGTCAGAACTATTCGATTTGAGGTTATAAACCAAATAATTATTTTCTGAGTTATCATCTTTGTTAATTAAAGAATTAAAATAATTTTATAAAAATTTAGTACCTTTAATACCAAGTTCTTTAATAAACAAATCTTCTGTTGTATCTGAGTTTATACTTTTCACAAGAAATATCAACAAAAATAATTTGACAAACATTTTGGTAATTTATGGAAATCAATAGAAGCAAATTAATTTTTGGTTAAAATTTTTAATTTTATATAGATTTTATCATAGTAAGACAATACATTTTATTTTCTGGCAACACTAAATCAATCAAAAAGATAACAAATATGAACCGCGCAACTTATTTTGAAAGTATTGAGTATATTTTAAATTTTTTAATCTTTTAAAATATCGCGTGATAAAAAATTTTGTGGAAAATAAAATTAAGAATTTCAATATTTATTATTCCAAATTCAATTCAAATTCCAGACAAACCTAATTTTGTTTGAAATTTAATTAAATTTGGGCGTTCACATTAATTTAAAAACAAAAAGATTGAAAATATGTATATTTCTATAAAATTAATGGAAGCAACATAATACATACATAAAATTCTTTTATGAAAAGATGATAAAATTCTTTTAAGTATTAATTAGTTAATAAATAGGTCAGATATACATATATCCGATAAAATTTAAGGATAAACTAAAAACAAAAATAGCGACAATGTATACATATTGATACTTCAATATAAAAAATAAAAACATTTTCCGCCAAGACAGCAGCTTAATTTTTAAGTTTAAAATTTTTTTTAAATTTATTTGTATATGTATAGAAAATGTAAAAAAAGCCCAAGTATTATTTTAATTTTTTTTTATTTTTAAAATTTCTACTCATCGCCACAGCAACCATTTTGTAAACAGCATCTTAAAAATTAAAAACAAAATTTAGAATTTAAAAAATTACTTAGTTCCACAGCATTCATTCCAATTATTTTTTGAACAGCATCTTAAATTTATTTTAATTTAAAAAAAATATTACGTATTTCCACAACAAAATTTATTAGCAACACAAACCCCACAATGCGAACCAATTAATTCAATAATATTAAATTATTTATTTTAAGCATTTTATTTTTTTAATTAATTAAATTAAATTTTAATTTTAATGATAATTTATTTCTCAAATAAATTAATATTTTATATTATCCCAAAAATAATTTTATTTTACTAAAAATTAATTAAATTAAAAAAAGAATTCTTTATATTACCTAAGCTGTTCAAATAAAAAAAAAGATTCCAACTCATGAAAAAATTTTTTTGAAATTTATCTTAAAAATCAATTACTTTATCTATTTTACCCTTCCAAATTCTTTATCTTTATTAAATAAATACCGCTTGATTCAAGCTTTATTTTGATATATGACTCAAACGTATTTAAGTGATTAGGATGAGTTGTGGCGATATCGGTGAATTTAAAGGGCTTAAGAATTTTAATGGAGCTTGAGAATTATTTAAAAAGCTCAACAAATTCGAAAGGTTAAAGAGGATTTTGAGAGATAAAATGGGTTCCTCCACATCTAAGTATCATTCCTCTCCTAATAATCTTTATCCGCAAATCTTATCTTCTTATTACCGATATCCCTCACTATTCCACTAATCCTTAGTATCTCTTATAATCACTCTTTATCCCTCGATATTCTCTTATAAACTGAATCAACTTATATCCAACCCTAAAAATCCACCGCTATAACGCTGAGTTCATCTTAATCCTTCAATCCATGATATCTGTGATTTATATCAGGCCCCCTGTATCCTTGATATCTAATACGTAAAAAATTTTAACTAAAATTCGGATTTGCTATACCGGATTGCATAATAATCCAAAATGACAAGAAAATAAGAGAAAGTCAACAGAAACATCTTTGAATTGGATATCATTTTATATTTAGTAAAATTTCGGGATAAAAATGGGTGGCATTCTAATAGGGGGTGGCATTAAATTTAAGGGTGGCATTCTATTTTTCAATAACCTTCCAAAATGGCATTCTAATAGAGGAAATACGGCCCGGAGATCGTGAAAACCCCGGATTTGTCCGGCGCCGGTCACTAGTTACTTGGAAAATAGGGGGCGGCATTAAATTTAAGGGTGGCATTCTATTTTTCAATAACCTTCCAAAATGGCATAAAACTTCGTGAAATTATTATAAGCGATAATGCTATTAGTTACTGAAAAAAATTTTTATATGTAAATTGGAATCGAACTTTAGAGCACGGATATCTGATATGATTTTTATCAAACGCCATGTCAACGAATCTTTGGATAAAATTTAAGATAAAAATTTAACCAAAAATTTTCTTTCTCAAATAATGCAAAAAATATAATTTCTACTATTTAAATTCTAATTTCCAACACATTGACTTTCATCCCTCTTAACAATAATTCCAGCATAAAAAATAACAAAACAAATAAAGGCAACAGGAAAGAAAACTCTCGAAAAGTGATCTAAACGGTGATAAAGCCTCCCAATTCTTTTTGTTTCAGATTGTAAAAGGTCTTTTTCGTATTCATTTGCTGCTTTTTGGGCTTGTTTTTCCTAGAAAAACATCATAATAAATAATTTTTTAGTATTTTTATGCCATAATTATTGCTTAACTTTCTTTTCTAGTTATCTTTTTGTAAACTTTGACAATCATTCATAGTCCAATAATTACAAATAGGAGGTATTTAAATTGTATTTTTGAGAATATAATAGATAAAACTCACAATTGCCCGCCCCCGTTTTATATAGGCCATAACAGCAAGACTTTCCACTAGAGAAAGTACAGTGAAGGCTTTTATCACAACAAACCAAATATCCAAAGAAGTCAGATACGAAGTTAATACCCAAAATATTTTTTAATTATATTTAATAATTTAAATAAATGCCTCTTGGCTGCCTTTTTCCATTTGAACAAGAGTTAGAAGAACCTATCAATTAATTTTCATCATAATTTTAGTAAAAAATTTATTTACAGTGATAGGGGTGATGATACGAACTTCTTCATAATTATAAGGAACGTATCTTAAAATTTTATAATTGTAACATTAGCTAATAATATTTATTAATTAAATTTATAAAATTTCTCTCACGGTGCCACCCAAGAGAATACCATAGCCAAAACCGAGGGCAAATATTTCTCAGCAATATAACGTGCACCTTCTCGTTTGAGTCGAAATAATAACAATAAACATGATGATGGAACTAATTAAATTTTTTATTATCTCAGTCTAGACTGCTCAGAATTGAATTTAAAACACCTCTAAACAGGCGTTAAATGTGAATTGAGGCCTTTTTCGGATAATAAATTCAAATATTTTAGGGTTGAATAATAATTAAAAAAATAAGAAAATTCTAAATTAAATATTAAGATCATTTTAAGAGGGGGTTTCTTGTATTTTTATATTTTTAAATCTCCATTCATTTATCAGTTAATTATTTCTGGGCCCATAAAGCAAAAATTTTAAAATATTTTTCAAAATTCAAAAATTAAATGTTAACTTAATTTTTCATCAATTTGGCATTGTTGTTCTGTTCCGATACTTTGAATACGCAAATCTGTTAATAACACTCTCTTAGCAAAAATTATAGGTTGTTTGGATGCCCATCGAAATTCAAGCACTGATTTTGGATGAGCAACTTTAAAATTTTAAATTTTATTTTTAAACTTTTTAATCTTATACTTGAGCTTATTAATAAATCACAACGTTGTTTGTCATGTGGAAAATTACAAAAATTCATTTGGCAATCAGGCAAAAGCGTTACTCTTATGAAAATAGAAGATTTAGAAAAATATTTTTAAATTCTTTACAAAATTGTTTTATAATTTTTCACTTTAAATCATAGAATTTTTAGTCTCTTAATTTTCCCTATAATATTTTTATTTTTTAATTAAAATTAATAAAATTACCTAACAGTATAGGTAACATGCCCGTTTGGGTATATTCTCATCAAAAAATTTGGAAATGTTACAACATGAAAATAAGAAAATTTTGAATTTAAAAATAAAGCATCTGGCTTCCATATTCTATCAATTATTTTCTTTTCCATAATTCTTACAGGCTTAGAAAAGTTGTTGGCCAATCTTTAAAAATTAATTAAATCAAGTCTTGTGGGCAAGGGAGTTTGGAGGTCAAGAGGAGAGCAATAGCCCGTATGAGGAATGGGCTATCCACGCGTTGCTCTCCGATCCAAGCCACAAAAGTATTGAGAGGAAAGGGAGAAGAGCTGACCACCAACAGTCGACTGGAGAGTTGTTGTTACCTTTCTGTTGTTGCAGTCGACTAATTGATAGTCGACTAAAGAGGAGTCGACTAATTGATAGTCGACTAATGGGGAGTCAACTAATGAAGAGACGACAATCAAAAAGCGACAAACAAATATAAGTTTATTTCAACCAAAATAATAAGCGCACAAATAAAATATTGAAAGGGGCAAAGGGTACAATGGACTCGCGACTGGGGGAGGAATTTGTGAATGAACGGAACACCAAAAATAGAGTAAAAGGCAAAGCCTTAAATAAGAGGCTGGCAGGTCTGCCTGGGTGTGGCTTATTCCGACCAGCTAGCTAATAAAAGGGGCGTGGTTAACAATAAAATGTGAAGAAAAGGAAATAGTGAATAAACTGACAACACGTGTAAAAACAAATAGAAAATAGAGAATGGGAGGAAATATAAAGTAAAATTAGGAGAGGGAAAAAACTCTATGAAAAAGGTGACAATTGAGTCGCCTGTCGGCGACACTCCCGCCCCAAAGAATCGACTTTTAGTCGAATCATCTTCTTCCCACTTCTTATTCTTCCTTCTCTTCATCATCGTTCATTTCTTTCATCGACATCTTGCATTGATATTGTTCGGCAGAAGTGCCACAGTATTGATTTCCATTTGGTATGTCGATGATCAAGTTCTGGTCATTGATACAAATTTGCCAATGTGTTGACGATCGTTCATGGTGAAACATTAACTTTATATGAAGTGGTGCTTGTTGACGACATGTCGAGTCTGGGCACATATTTACTGCTGGTAATTGTTGTGCCATGTTTAAGTTAGATCGCATGTTAGATTGTTGTGGCATGTCGTTTGTAGGCAATTGCGGTTGAATAGTTAAACGTGAGTGATTAGTAGCCGACTGCGGCTGATTGTCCATAGCATGACGGGTTTGTTGAGTAGTCAAATGCGGTCGAGTAGTTGACTGCACATTTTGACGCACATTGCGAGGAATATTGTTTAAAGTTGGTCCAGCCATAGGTTCTATTGGTTTATTTGAGTCCCATTGGTTGAATCCACCATTATCAAACAGTTCAATGTTGTTTCCAGATTTTCCGCATACCATCACTGGTGAGATTGGTATTGTTGGAGTTTGGCGAGTCCCATATTCATTTGTCGTAGAAGTTCTATTAGCGGCTAACTGTGGAGTATCATGTTCTCCATCAAATGTGCGATCTGGCCAAGTGTTATGTTCCGGTTGAACACTAACATTTTCAAAATGCTGTTCATTGTCACGTGCTTTTTGTTTCAACTTGATCCAATAAATTCTTTCTGGTGGGATCAGTTCATAGTGTCTTTCTCCTTGTCTCCAACTAGCTTTTCCACGGTTGCGACGTAATGATTTAGCACTTGATCCGCGAAATCCATCTCGGTTCTCACGTTCCAGTGGATTTCCAAAAATCATGCAGGGTAGATCAGGTCGTATCAGTGTAACTCCCTTGTTCCAGTAGTGACGGTTGACGGTGCAGTTAGGCATAATCAGTTCTTTGCTGGCAGGCAGTTCAGTAAATCCTGCGAGTCCTGCTGGTCGTCGCACGGTTCTTTCTGCTGTCAAAACTTTCAGTTCAGCGCTTCCGGTTTCTATCAATTGGGCAATTGCTACCCCGGCTTCAAATTGAGTCTTGTTATCCCGATTCCATCGAGGGTGGTAATAGTCAAGCCAACGGTCCAATTGGTTTGGAGTTATTTGATCAATGGTGAGAAGTTGCACCATATTCATTAATAGTTTTTCCAAGTTGAAGTGATGTATGGATGGCATACTGAGCTGAGCTTTTATATCCAAAAGAAGTGGGCGTGACCATTGGTATAAGTTTGTCGTTGTTAAATTGGTAAGTAGAGTAGGCGGTGCCAATTTTTGTAAGTGGGTATGTAAGTGGGTATGCCCAGTTTTCACATAAGTTTTTCGAGACTCGAGGCATAAAGTCGAGGTTGTCGAGACTTTTCTCCAAGTGCTGAGTCTTGGTTCGAGACCGTAGTTTTCATAAGTCGAGGTTAGCATTTTCTCCCGTCCGAAGGGCCCTCCCGGCGCCTGAGTTGCGAAGCAAAGTGAAATTAGTGTGATGAGTAATACAAGTCGAGCTGCTGCCTTCCAGGCTCGAAATACTTGGTTTAGGCGCACAAAGAGGTACAGTAGTCCGATTCCAATAATAAGTGCGAGTAGTAGGGAGGTGATGCTTGAGAACGAAGTCAAGAGTGTTGCCAATACTCTTGGGTCAAATCCAGTGGCCCACCAATTGCCTGAGGCTATGTTCGATATGCTGCAGTTGAACATTCTAGCATCTGATTCAGTTGAGCAGTGCAAGTCTCTCGGTATATTCTCCACCTTAGACATGCTGGTCCCATCAGTGATGAATTGCCGGTTCAAAACTGGTGCCGGGCGTGCAGCAACAGGTATTGTTGTTAAAGAAACGTTGTTCCAGTTAAAATTCATTCCAGAGTGTAGTACAATTGGTTCCATGAGAGGTTTCGGTTTCTTGCCACTGACTTCTAGTAGTAAGCTTGCGTGTATGTTGAACTCCCATGTTGGACAAGTGATGAGTTCAAAGGTATTTCTAGTTGTTGGACTAGCAAAGGTCCAGTAGAACAGGCATGCACTCGTAGGTAGGGCGCATCCTTTAAAACAAAATGATGAGCTTGGTTCACATCGCGAGATTCCAGGTAAATTGTTAACTTCTCGTAGTTCTGGTATAACTGTTGACGGTCTGACGCTCGCACAGTAGTTTTCTTTACATGATCCGCTAGTAAGACATGTTTTGACTGCAAGTGTTTTCATAGTGTAACTCCGGTACCATCCCTCGGATTTCGGCACACAATCCATCGTGAGGGCATCCACTATTATACTCAAAGTTCCTAAAGCAATTCCATGTTCGTTCCTAAGTAACAAAGTAGTTGTTTGGCCTTTTGGTAGCGAAGTTAATATTGTGGCATAGTTGAGCACACATGATATTCCTGTCGGTCCTCGTCGGCAGTTTTCTGACTTCGTGGTGACTGCGGCGACGGTAGTGGAGGAATAGGTTTGATTGGCCGAAGTGTGTAGCACGACCAAAGGTATGCACTCTGAAGGTGTGGGTCGTCTACCAAGTATCCGGTTCAGGTGAGCACGTCTCCATTCCTGGCCGGTTTGTTGAAGGTTGAAGCTTGCTTGATTCAATTGCTGTCTCATAATCCGAGCTCTTGCTGCGATTCCTGTAGTTCTGGCCAAAGTTTGAGCCTGTTGTGTAGTTTTCCTTGTACATAGTATTCCACATCCTACTATATAGTAACATATTGACATAAGTTTATTGAGAAAGCAGGTAATTTCCAAGGTCCATGGTGTAACAACAGCAAATGTTGTTTTGTATTTCGTTCTTGGACGAGGATACCATTTCTTGATGATCGATTTGTTAGTCCGGTTTGCCTTCTCTGGCGATTGCACTTGCTCTATAGTTTGCTCTTGTATTGATCCATGTTGATCCATTGTTTGCTTTGTTGAAGCTAGTTCTTCAGATTGTTGTGACTTGAGTTCATACATCGGTGAGTAAAATATTTGTTCGGCGCCTACGCGCGGTGGTTGTAGTTCTTTCACGAGATTTTTGGTAATGTAGCTTGCCATACTGCCTGGGTTCTTTGCTGGACCACTGGTATGAAGACTGAGTGTTGATTGAGCTTGTTCCTCTGATTTATCCTTGTTCTGTTGCTGTTTCTCATGAGCAACGACAATTCTCTGTTCCGGTTCTGGTGTACATTGACGGTTCTGGTTTACTGCGGCTTCTTGGTAGGCCAGACGTGTTTGACTAAGTTGAGCACTTCTCTGCTTTGGTTGTGCTGTCCATTGACAGCTCTGGTTTACTGCGGCTTGTTGGCAGGCCAGACGTGGTTGATTAAGTTGAGCACTTCTCTGCTTTGGTTGTGCTGTCCATTGACAGCTCTGGTTTACTGCGGCTTGTTAGCAGGCCAGACTTGGTTGATTAAGTTGAGCACTTCTCTGCTTTGGTTGTGCTGTCCATTGACAGCTCTGGTTTACTGCGGCTTGTTGGCAGGCCAGACTTGGTTGATTACGTTGAGCACTTCTCTGCTTTGGTTGTGCTGTCCATTGACAGCTCTGGTTTACTGCGGCTTGTTGGCAGGCCAGACGTGGTTGATTAAGTTGAGCACTTCTCTGCTTTGGTTGTGCTGTCCATTGACAGCTCTGGTTTACTGCGGCTTGTTGGCAGGCCAGACTTGGTTGATTAAGTTGAGCACTTCTCTGCTTTGGTTGTGCTGTCCATTGACAGCTCTGGTTTACTGCGGCTTGTTGGCAGGCCAGACTTGGTTGATTACGTTGAGCACTTCTCTGCTTTGGTTGTGCTGTCCATTGACAGCTCTGGTTTACTGCGGCTTGTTGGCAGGCCAGACTTGGTTGATTAAGTTTAGCACTTCTCTGCTTTGGTTGTGCTGTCCATTGACAGCTCTGGTTTACTGCGGCTTGTTGGCAGGCCAGACGTGGTTGATCAATTGTACACCGCTGTTTTGGTTGTGATGTCCATTGACATCTTTGGTTTGCTGCGGCTAGTTGGCAGGCCAGAAGGTGATGCGGGCCCTTGCATCTGTAGCAAGTCCTTTGGTTTTGACAGTCGCTTGCATGATGTCCTTCCCTGAGGCATCGGATGCATCTATTTGTCTCCATTAGTCTTCTCAGTCGGTCCCTTGCAGTTGGGTAGATACGACAGTGGCTTGGTAAATGTCCTGGTTTGGCACACAGTGGGCATGTTTCTCGGTTGTCTTTTTTCTTGATAGAAGCTGTTGATGCTGCGCCACAGCAGCAAAAGTTCTCACAGTATCTCTCGGTGGTGTTGTCGGAGGTTTGACCTCCCTCGTGACATGCGGTGAAGTGTCCATTGAGTGTACGCAATGAAGGACTTCTTCCCTCAGGCTAATGATTTCTTGTAGCTGCTTGAGTAGATCCTTGTGGGTCCATGGCCGACGAGATTCCTTCTCACGCATCAGGAGTTCTCGAAGTACGCCAGAGGGTAGCTTGCTTCGGATCTGCAACATAGTTTGAGTTGAGTCAGGCGATTGTCCTTGCGACTCCAATTGATAGCATATCCTATCCACTGTGTCCATAAAATTGCGAAGTGATGATGAGGCGTCAGTTGCTCTCGGTAAGTGCATCAGTTCTGAGTAAAGGTTGTCGATAAGTCTCTTTGAGTTTCCAAAACGGTCTTTCAAAATATTGAGTACATGCTGGTAGTTGGCGTCCGATGGTTCATAATGTTCAATAGCTTTTCGTACTGGTGAGTTGGCTGGCAAACACATCAAAAGATAGGTGTGCTTCTGGAAGGCGGACAAGTTCGGTTGCTGATCAACTGCAGCTGAAAATACGTTCCACCATGTTCTGTAGTGGTGAGCTTCTCCATCGAAGCGAGGTAGTTCTAATGTAGGTAGTCGGACGGCTTGTTGTACCACCTTTGGTTGATTGACTTGTTGAGCAGGCTGCTGCTGGCCCTGATGACCTTCCAAGGTCAGGTTGATTAGTTCCACAATTCCTCTTGCTCTTTCGTGTAGGTCCATAAAGTGCTCATACGGCAAATCCTGTTCAGCCTCAGGTTGCGGCGGAAAGTTGTCATAAAGTTCCTCTTCTGCATGTAGAGCATTTTCTTCCAAGTTGTCCATGTGTTCCAGCCAACGAGTATTGAGTTCATTCACGCGTTCCATTGACGATTCCAGTTGAGTTCTGACCACACGAAGTCCATTAGTTGTAGCTTGATTGATCACTGGTTGATCCAAAAGTCCATTAGCATCTGCAATTCTGTCTCTCATAGTTCGCAAAACAGGAGCAATAGCACGGCGGATTGGTCCTGAAGACGGCATTTTTCTGCTGGTAGTCGACTGCAGTAAGTGGGAGTCGATTAGTTGTATTTGGCTGCTAGGTTAGTATAGTCGACGCTGACGGTGGTCGATTGAGTTGTTTCACACAGCTATGGTAGTCGACGCTGACGGTGGTCGATTGTTGTAGTTTCTCACACAAATATGGTAGTCGACGCTGAAGGTGGTCGATTGTAGTAGTTGACTCTCACGGTCGATTGTTGTTTGCCCTGACGGTTGATTAAAGTTGACGGCTGCGGTGCCAACTGTTGGTTGATTGCACACACCAGTGAGTGAAGAACGCCAAACAAGTGATGAACACACTTATTGACTGATGGGCAATTGAGTTGATTGAACACCAGTGGAGTGAAGCACCAAACAAGTGATGAACACCCAGCAACTGATGAGCAAGTTGAAGTGACTGTTGTTGTTGTTGGCCCGAGCTGCGCACTGACAGTTGCTGTGGGCGCGGTTCCCGGCCGTTGCACCAATTTTTGTGGGCAAGGGAGTTTGGAGGTCAAGAGGAGAGCAATAGCCCGTATGAGGAATGGGCTATCCACGCGTTGCTCTCCGATCCAAGCCACAAAAGTATTGAGAGGAAAGGGAGAAGAGCTGACCACCAACAGTCGACTGGAGAGTTGTTGTTACCTTTCTGTTGTTGCAGTCGACTAATTGATAGTCGACTAAAGAGGAGTCGACTAATTGATAGTCGACTAATGGGGAGTCAACTAATGAAGAGACGACAATCAAAAAGCGACAAACAAATATAAGTTTATTTCAACCAAAATAATAAGCGCACAAATAAAATATTGAAAGGGGCAAAGGGTACAATGGACTCGCGACTGGGGGAGGAATTTGTGAATGAACGGAACACCAAAAATAGAGTAAAAGGCAAAGCCTTAAATAAGAGGCTGGCAGGTCTGCCTGGGTGTGGCTTATTCCGACCAGCTAGCTAATAAAAGGGGCGTGGTTAACAATAAAATGTGAAGAAAAGGAAATAGTGAATAAACTGACAACACGTGTAAAAACAAATAGAAAATAGAGAATGGGAGGAAATATAAAGTAAAATTAGGAGAGGGAAAAAACCCTATGAAAAAGGTGACAATTGAGTCGCCTGTCGGCGACAAGTCTCTTAATTTGGTATTTAAAAAGTTTAGTAGACAAGGAAATTCAATGCTGGATATTTAATTTTCGAGGCTCCAGTTTTGTGGTTCCGGCTCCGGGCATATCAAAATCTTAGCCCCTTTCTTGCTCTGAGTAGAGCTGACTCGGAGCAGCAATAGATTCTAGCCCATTTAGTAACGCTTATCCTCATGTATTACTAACTGGAGTGTTATTAATTTCTGTCATCCAAAAATATGGAAGAAGAAACATTAATAATCTAACCTAACATCATACCACTGCATATGTAGAAAAACATCCAATTCATATTCCATTTGAAAATTGTCAAAATTCCCTAAATGTATAACTTCCAAAGCAACAAAAACCTTCAAAGGTTCATCTATATTTTTAATTAAAAAATCCAAATAAAAATCCAAATATATTTTAAAATACCTGCAAAAACAAGCGGAATACTTTTATTATCATATTTTTTCTCCTTAAGCAAAGGAGTAATAAAACTCCCACCCAAATCACGGAATGCTTCAGAGCCCAAATCTTCCTTTTCTTAAATGTAAATACTTTAATTAGAAATATAAATTTACGTTATGGGAGGGGGTTTGTAGAAAAATTACTTAGATAATAGAACAAAAAATGTGGGTCTCTTGCCAAATATAAATTTAAATAAATATATATAATTTATTGAATGCAAAATCTTAATTCACTACTAATAAATATAAATTAAAATAAGAAGGTCAAACTATAAACTTATTAACATTTAGTAATTTACCACCTTCAATAACCTCATTTTTTAATAAATCTCTTAGGATAGATTCATTTCTATAAAGAGAATCAGTTTGTAAATTGAGAGCCAACTCCTCTTCATTTATTATTTCCATTGTTGTAGTTGTGGTTGTTGTAGTGGTGGTTGTTGTTGTTGTACTAGTTGTTGATGTTGTTGTTGGCTTTATTTCTTTTGTTTTCTTTTCTGAAATGTTCTAATTTATAGGATCTTTAAAGATTCAATTAATATTTTTTCCTTTTTCTAATAAAAAATGTCTATGATCTCTTATTAAAAACATTTATAAAAAATTATAACTTATAGAAACTGTTTTATCCAGTGTGAAACGCATCTTGGCTTTCTTAGCTTTTTGAACTATAAATATTAAATTTATATTTTAATATCTTTTCAAAATACAACAAACTTTGTTTATGTTTCCTCAACGTATGCGGTATCCAAGGCAGAATACTTTTTAGGAGTGGCAATTCAGGGATATTTTTAATTTTCTCCTTATATTTTTCATCCTTCATCTTCCCTTTTTTAACAAATTTCTTCTCAACTTTCTCTTCAATATATTTTTTTGTTTCCTTCCCCTCCGTGGCTTTAATTTTTTCTTCTTTTTTAACTTCTTTTTCTTCAATTTCTGACAACTTCCTCCCAAAAACATCCTCGATTTTCCCCTCCTCTTCCATCTTCTCTTTATTAGTATCCCTCATCTCTTCAATTATTTTTTTCGGATTTGCCTTTTTTCTCGCTTTTTTCTTTTTAAGTTGAACTGTCACTATAGTCCAATCATCATCGTCATCATAATCTTCAAAAAAATCCTCATCTTCATTTTTATTTAAATTAATTTTCGAATAGTTTTTTGATTTTATTCTCGGGATTGGTTCAACGTCTACAACATCTTCGTCTTCAAAATGTGCCTTCCTTTCCATAGGGTTTTCTAGGACAACTTGGACATTAAGAAGAGAGAGCCATTTACCATCTAAATTTTTATTAAGTTTATCATATCTTGACAAACTATTAATATGTATTAATTCGGGATAGTTCTCGATGAAATAAACTAGGATCGTTATTATGTTTGTCGAACTAAGTACGAATAGGAATTTAAATACGATCTTTCACCAGCTGGTTTTGAAAGGATGATTCGCCTAGACTCATTTAAAACGCTTAAGCTGGGTTAAACGATTTGGAAAAACTATCCCCTGTAGCTCAGTGCCAGAGCATCTGCATCGTGTGACCAAGGCCGATCCGTTGGTTAAACTTTTGCTAAACTCTTTCTGTTGTCAAAAAAATTTTCAGTTCTCTGATTTATCGGTTTAGTTATGGTCAAACAAATAAACAAAAAAATCTTAAAAATACAACACCATCAAAGATAACTTCCTTAGTTAGTGATATTAATGCCCTTCTTAACAACCATTATAAACTTGGAATAAACTTTTTTACAATTGAATTTAGTAAATACCTGGAGCCTTGAAATAATGTACTCGATAATCTGAATTATCATTTCCTTTCACAATAAATTTATTAAAACCAAATATTAAAGAATTAATTAATAAAAAGTTTTTAATATTAAAAATAAAGAATATTTTTAACATTTTATTTTAACAATTATTTTGCCTCGACGAACAAAATAAAACTAAATAAATACAGCTAATTTTGTTAATATTTTTAATGTTATTACTAAAAGTACCATTTTATAGGCCCACATAATGCGCACTAAATATATAATTAAGGGAAGTTACGTGTAAAAATTATTGAAGCGGGATATAAATAATAAAAAAATTTTATTTATCAAATATTTTGTTTATATGTTAACGAGGATTTATTATTATTAATTATTCAAGTCTGTTTTTGTTAACAAAAAAATTTTAAACTTAAAAAATTTATTTTAGATTTGATTTTGAAATTAGAAATTATTCTAATTTAATAATAAAAATATAGAGTACAATAGGAAAAAATGCAAAAAAAATCACCGGAATTATAATATTATGTAATAAAGGAATTCATTGAGAATTTAAGTTTATTTGAATTTTAGAATTATAATAAGGACAGGTTTTACTTTATTTTAAGATAGTAAGAGTTATGTCTTAAAACATGATTTATCAAATTGATTTGATCAAATTAGAAGGGGAAGGAATTAATTTAATATTTATTAATTTAATCAGCATAGAATTCCCTTACCATTAACTCATACTTTATATAATTTTAATTTTTAACTATTTAAATTTAATTTTTGGAAGGATAAACTTTTGATGAATTTTTCTTTATTCTTCTACTATTATTATTACTATCACCATTCAATATTTCATTAGTATAATTTAATTCATTTTGTGCTTTTTCTGCCATAATGTTATCATAATTCTCTTCATCATAAGAAGCAAAATCATCTTCTTCCTCTTTATGATTAATTAATTCAATATTCCCATTAAATATAAATTGGGTTAAAACACATGTAACATCTGAAATTTTGTGATAAATTTGTGATTTTTAGAAGGGGCTAGGCCAAAAACTTAAAAAAATCTAGAGCAATGGCGGTAATAGTTGGGAAGTCGCCCCCCTTTTTTTCCCGTTTTCCTGAGCATTTTGAGCTTTTCTTGTTTGATATATAATTCAAGCTTGGTTAAATGATACCATGATCGGCTAGATCTGATGATTTTTACCAAAATTATGAAGCTAAATCCTTTTTGGGATCCAAGGGGGTCCTTGCAAGGTGATAAAATAATCGTAACTTTGTTTCTTTAAGTCTACCGAATGGCTAAAGTCGCAAACAGGCCTATTTAATAAAAATAAATCTCCTTACGATTAATATAATTAGATAAACGTCTATAAACTCCAAATCTTTGAAAAGCCTTTTCCCAAATAAATAAAATATAAATAGCCAATCCGATAGCCAAAATTAAAAGTCCAACAATCGAGGATTTAAAACTTTGTATAATTGTTATAGACACCAAAGAAAGGCAAACAATCAAAAATATTATTGGCAAAATTAAAGGAACACGAATTGCTTTTTCGTGAACTGGACGTTTACAAATATTAAATCGGATACATAAAAGGCTGAGCATTGTAATTGAACGAATTATCTAGGGTTTTTTTGTAGATTTTATTTAAAGATTTGTTAATTAAGTAAAACTACCCAGTGAGTGAAGGCAACATAATTAATTAGTTCCTAAATTAAAGAATTTACTTTTAGAATTATTTTTTAAACGAATCACCTCTAAATTCCCAAGAAATGAAAATGCCATAGAAAGCAGAACCTAATAAATATTTTTTTAAGTTTGGAGTAAAATTTTGAATAAATCATGATATAAGAATTTTATAGTTTAATTATTAATGTATTTAGCAGAATTAATCAGAATTTCCTTTCTATTTTTAAGTAACTAATTAATTCTTAATCATTTCTGATTAAAATGATTAGGTATATACATAAGCTTCAGAATTAAATCTGAAATAAATTCTGATACTTTTAACACTCTAATACTAAAAGTAATAGTACAAACAAACATGAACAAAAAGAGCAGCTCTAGGACTGTCATGTTCTCTATTTATACAAGAAATAAAGGAGGGGAAATGCCTTTCACGTGCAGATGCCCAAAGATAGCGACTTCCGCCAAAAAGAGTTGCATTTAAAGAACTTTAAAATTTTTAAAATTTAAATCGACCAGAGAAAATATTTTTTGGAAGTTTATTTAAATTATACCCAATAAGGACAATGCAGACAAGGAAGGGCATTGCATATTTAAATTGACTTCCCAAAGTTTTCTCGGCAAAAGTCTAAAATTATTTTGGTGTAAAAATATTTTTTACTAAACTAGCCATAGCAACGGCATTAGAAGATTGTACTTCAGGGACTGATAAAACAACAAAATAAGATAAATTCATTGTTATATAAAGTGCTGCGCAAGTAGACATACCAACAATTATAGCAAAAGGCATTACTCTTGAAAATGATTAAATTTTTGTTTGTTTTTGTTGCTAAAGAGAGACTCAGAAATTGAACGTTTTGGATATATTCTTTATTAATTTTTCCGCAGAGAATAAATTGAAACCTAAATTCTATATCTCACGGAATAAAATCAACAAAAGGATTTTCCAAGGATCTCAATATCTTTTAATAACTATACGGGAAAACATAATTGCCGTGTGTGTATTAAAGAGATTATTAATAAATTCATTTACTAAAATAAAAAACCTTCTAGGCTTTTTAACATCCTCAGCTCCATAATTTAGAATATCCCATCCATCATAGCTAAAAAGACCGGAGAATAATGCTAAAGCAACGCTGCCAGGGTAAAAATTACTGTGGGCAAAAGGTTCCTTGAAATTATCAGATTGGACACCTTTTTTTGGAAATTAAATAATTAAACTTATTTTTTAAATACAAGCCTTATACCTAAACTTAACCAAACAACAATTCCACAAATTACAATAATTCCGCTAGCAATAACTTTAGCTCCCATAGCCACCATTTGGAATCTAGCTACAACAGCTCGAACAGAGAAACAATTGAGAAAATAGAGGAGTACTTAAAAATATGTATATTTTAGATATGAAATTAAAGGGTTATGTACAAATTAGACTGAATGATATAAGTTTATTTACAATAAAACGTGTTGATGAATTACAAAATTCTAACTAAAATTAAAAAAAAAATTTTTGAGAATAAAATTAATTTACCTTAAGTCCTTGAATAACATATTCAGAAAATCTAAAGTTAAAAATTATATTTTAAATAAAAATCTGGTTAGAACAAAGTTGTTCTAGACTAATCTTTAATTCTTTTTAGTTATACTCCTTGACAGGGATGGATAGAAAGATAAGGGGTTTGGTGTATAAAAGTCCGGGTTTATGGTAATTGTCCCTTAAAGTTAGTGTGATACTGTGAATGCTCGAATAATTATTCTCTCTCTCTCAAACTCTCAAATAATTTTACCCCTCTTAATCATCCCCTCATCGAGAGGTCAAAGTAATAAGTAATACTTAACCAGGGTAATTATTTGAGCATATTTGTGCAAACTTTAAACACAAAAAAAACGCACTTACGTCTCCATCTGTATAGCCATAGTCCCCGGATTAGTAAAAATACAAGCACAGGACATAAAAGAAAATGCAATAGCTGTCCTATTTTAATAGATAAACTTTGTTTTTAAATTTTTATTGAGATTTAAAATATTCTTTACCATCTAACATGGCACAAATAAGCAAAATCACCGCCAGATTTTCTAATACTTGTACCTAATTCAACATAACACAAAGCCCCCAAAGTAGCTATAATTCCAGCCAATATCCAAATTAAGAGAGAAGCCCCAACAGAGTGAACATTATTTAAAATTGTAGTGGGTGTTATAAATATACCAGAACCTATTATGTTGCCAACAATGTATGAAGTGGCGCCCCATCTTCCTTAATTAGCAAAACTAATTTTTGTTAATTAAAAATAATAATAAAATATTTGTATACATAAATTGCTTTATATTGATAATGAATATACATAATGATTGGAAAGCTATACAATAAAGAAATAAATTTTAATTTCAGCATTACCTTAACAATTATCAGAAAATTAATAAAATTATTTGAGGACGTTAGCGAAGGTGTCGAAACGAGGAGATTTTTTAATTTAAAATTTATAGAAATAATTTTAAAAACTTACCCATCATATTTTTTTCATCGGTTTTAGACATTTTTAATAATTATTAAATTATTTCCTTTTAAAGTAAAATAATAGAAAAGTTCATTCAATAAATTTAAAAATGAAAGATGTGCTCAGAATTTTATTAAACATAAAGGCATTAGGTTGTTCGCTGAATTATGAGTGCATTTAAAATTTAATAAACAATATGATGTACATAATACTCATATGATGGAAAGAAGGAAATTTAAAAAATAAATAATAAATTAATATTATTTTTAAGTAATTATTATTTATTTTTTTTAAATATTTTTTAAATAAAAATTAATTATCGGCCCTTTAACAATTCAATATTTAAATCGTTTAATAATTAAAACAATTAAAATTTGAAAATACTTTTTGAAAATGTAAATTAAAATCTTAGATTTGAATAATTATTAAAAAGTTAATTGAACAATTTAAAATGTTTATGAGATGTGAATACTTAATTTAATTAAATCGTACAAAATATTTAATTAATTATAGTGGAACTTTTTCAAATAGTGTTTCTTAGTTGAAACACCCTGTATAACAATTTATTGCACAATTTATTTTAATTTACAATATTTTCAGATCTAAGGCGTATACTATAAAAAATCTTCAGTAATCTTATTTATAATATGTACCTAAATCTGATCAAATTTAAAATTACTAATTAAATAATTTAAAAATAAACCTAAAATAAATTAAAGAATTGAAACAAAAATAATGAGAATAAATAACTAGAAATTCTTTTTTTTTTGAGAAAAAAATATTTATTTATTTATTTATTCTTGTTTGTAAATATATTACGAACAAATATATTTTTATATAATATTTTATTTAATAAAAAATGTTGTGAACGATGCGTGGGATATAATGTCAATAAAAAAAGGAAGAAGAGTTTATGCGCAGGCTGATTATATTATAGCCTGTTAACTAGAATACATTTGCCTTCTTTTTTTAAAACATTGAAATAAATATTTATTAGAAAAAATATTTTTTCAGAGGTTTTTTTCTGTTTTTTATGTAATCTTGGAAAAATTCAAAGAAAATCTACACTACTAAACTCAACTATGAAACCATTTAGAAGCTCTAACTGAAATAAAAAATTGGATGAAAATCGTTTTTAGAATTTTAATGATTTTTTTAAAAATAAATTAAATTCAAAAAATAGAAATGATACAAAAATTTGTCAATTCAATTATTTTATTCTCGAATAAAATAACAAAGCAAATATATAAATAAATAAAAATGGATAGATGAACAAAAAGAAAATGGGGAAAATGAAAATTTTATTAGTAAAGAGAGATTGATCATTACATGTTTTTGAACGCCTGAATGTAACAGTGGAACGGAAATTTTAAAATAAAATAATTAAAAATCTTTTTATCAAATAAATGATGGGGCCTAATTAATGTATGTATATTTATTACTTAAATCAAAAAACCAAGTCAATAGAAAAAAGAAATAATTGTAAACTTGTCATATATATAATCGCAATTACTTTGCTGATCAAGATGTTGGAGTCCAACCATCCAGAAACCTCGGAGACGTAGCAAAATATTATAACTGTCAGGAATCGCAGCTTTAATTCTTGTCTGTGTCCCTAACTCCAACAATAAAAAAATTAAATCAACATTTCAAACATTCATTATACATATAGTCTCAATTAAAAATATCTCCTTAAATTTGTCCCTTTAATGGCTAAAAATTTATAGATTCGTTTAGATACTTTAAAATTTACATTTTATAAAATTAAATTTTTTTCGTTTATTATTTTAAAATTATTAATTATTATAATTTTAAATTTCATAATAAAAATTTTTCAAATTTAAATTTTAAATTATGACTTGGCATCATTCTAATTTTTAGGTTTATAGCAATTTTTAATATGTATTTAGTAAGAGCGAAGTAAAAATTTATTTTGGGCAAACATCGCTCATGCGACCTCATGGCATTTAGAAAAAATATGGTGTAATTATTAGAAGATGGGCAATTATTGTCTCAATCCCCCACTGATGGATATTTAATAGAGGTGGGGTACCATGTAATTAATAAAGTATATTCAATAATTGATAAAGGCTAATTAAAGGGATAAATGATACTAAATGTATTTTCCCTATTTTGTTACGACTTAATTTATTAGTAATATTAGACCTGTGAATGCACGGATTGTACTATCCGTATCCGGATGTATCCGAGAATATCCGGATATTATCCGTATCCATGCACAGGTCTGGTAATACGTACTTTTATTTTATTTTTTTATTATTTAATAGTTTATATTAGAAAAAAGGATTGACGTTCATGTGTTTTTGTGACCCTAAAACATATGTCCATATGATAGTATAAGTCCAATGAATAAATAAATTATCGTTTTAACTTTTTTAATCAAAATATATTCAGTGTTTTTATTCAATGAATTTTATTTAAATAATTATAAAGAATAATGAAAATTTAAATTTAAATTTCTCAATACTCAATTAACCTGTATTTATAATTTTATTTTATTAGATAATTATTTTATTTTTAGTGCCAATTAACAATTTAAAAGCTTACATTTTAATTATTTCATAAAATTAATTTTTTTTAAATTAATTTTCTTTACTTTTGATGAAAAAAAATTAATTTTATTCAAAAATTAAAAGATAAATATAGGAAACACCTGTTACAAAATTCATTTTAGAAATATAATTTTGTTTTTAATTAATTCTACAAATTTATTCTAGTTATCTAATTTATTTCCAAAAAATATTTTAAAAATTCTAATGTTTAATTAAATTAATTAATTAATACAAAATAAATATAAATTCATTTTATTGGTTTTCGTTTCTATTCTTTGTTCGGTTTATGACCTGAAAGTTTATCACATTAGGTCTTACAGTTGAATTTTTTTCGGAAAATAAAATTAATGCTATCTTGTAGCAAATTTCAAGGGCTTTCAAATAAGCCTAAAATAAAATTTTTATTTTACCTGTAAGGGGTCGAAAATATTTTTTAAAGACGTCTACCCCCTGTTTTCCGTTGATTTTCTGGATTCAAGATCTCAATGATGGAAGTATATTAGAACTTCGTTTCTTTTGTATTTCTTATCTATATTGATAGATATCTTTAGAGAAATTTTTTTGGATTTTTTGATTGCAAAATAAAATTTTTTGAGGAGGGTGCATATACTTTTGGAACAGTGAATAATTGAAGAATTGGTGATAAAAAAATGAACTGATATGGGATATTTTTATTTTTTAGTTTAAACTTACACATTTATCTAGAAGATTAAATAGACAAAAAATCTAATCGAAATAACAAAGAAAAATGAATAAAAAATCAAAAAACTAGGGGTGCATATACTTTTGGAACGCAGTGTATATTGAAAGATTTTCAAAACCCAATAAAGCTAAAACATAAATAAATAATATGTAGTTTCTTATTTAGACTTAAAAATTCCACATCAGATTTTGTGAAACATTTTTTTATTTATTAATTAAATTTAAAATATTTAATTATTTTTAAAAGTTTTAAATTAATTTTAAAATATAAATAATTAAAAAAATTGATATTTCTTCGTATTTTTAATTTAATTCTAGCTAAATTTAATTTTAAAATATTTATTTTTTAATTTTATTTAAATAAGTTATATTTGAATAAATTGTTATTTAATTTATTTCGATAAAACTTTGGTTAATTATTTTAATATAGTTATATACTATCAATGTCAAATTTTGATATAATTAAATTACCAAGTTACTTAAAATTATTTACATTTACTAATAATATTTCTTTTCTTTTTAGGAACATTTTTTTTTTAATTAAATGACATTTAGTATTTTAAAATTATAGAATTTACGTAATATTTTTCGTGATCGATGTGATTGTGGAAAGAATTAGAGTCAGAAAATATAGTTATAAAACAAACAGTTCACATTTTTATTAAAATTCAACAGAAAATCTTATAAGAAGATAATAGCTAGGGAATGGCGAAGTAACCACTAAAAATCCCACAATATGCGCAAATATATGCACCGAAAAATATGCAATTGTATGTTTTGCCATTCCCTAATAATGACTATTTGATTTCGTATTTATATATGCGAATTTTTATGGGGTGATCAAAGCGAAGCATAACAAATGTTCATTACGTAGGCATTCTTCTCAATAAGATTTCAGAATCTCGAACATCCCTGTTTGGATGTTTGATATACACATATAACTCAATTTGTATTTTTATTAAAATGTACTTTTATTTTATTTTTTATAATTCAAAAGTTTTTATTGGGGATAAAGATTGACGTTCATATGTTTTTGTGACCCTTAAACAGATGTCTATATTACTTACCCAATGAATAAATAAATTATTGCTTTAACTTTTTTAATCAAAATATATTCCCATTTTTTATTAATTTAAGCTATAATTTTATTTCTAGTAAACTATTTGTCAACAGTTCTAAAAATTAACTATTTTTTAAGAATGCTATAGGTTAAATTTATATTTCCAAATATTCAATTAACCAAAATTAATGTTTTTACAATAATAACCTCAATTTTTGTATAAAATTTTTACTTATTAACAGAAATACAAATTCTCCCAGTTAAATTCTCCCAAATTCTACCAGTGAAAAAACAAATGCTCCCAATTATTTTAGTGAATCCGCCTATATCCCACTTAATACGCCGAAATTCCATGATACGCACACGATCCATGTTGAATCCGAGTTGAAAATGAATGGATAATATTATTTCTGGGGATTTGTGTAGATTAAGGGGATAACGAGTAATAAAGGAGGAATGAGATGGATATCAAATATTAAGCGGGATATATCAAGGTATTAAGCGAATATTAAGAGAAAACTCTGGAAATTTCGTGGGTTTAATGGGGATATCGTCGGATTCGGTCTGATCTTGAGATCCGACTCTTCTATCTCTCTTTTTGCGCCGCTCGCTTCTATTTTGAGAATTTCTAAAGGCCAATAGGAAACACCTGTCACAATATCAATTTTAGAAATATAATTTTATTGTTAATTTCATAAATTTATTCTAT